TGCTGACAATTGCGCAAATCTCTGAAAAAGCTTTTTTGCCCTGAAAAGCATGACCTCCTGCTGGCCAGGCCCGTCTGACGTGTCTGAGACTAGGCTCAGGCCCAGCCCAACCAGCAACCCGCCTGCTGGCCAGGCCTGTCAGCCCAGCCCACCCAGCCTCAGGCCCAAGCTTGTCTGAAAGGCCTAGCAACCCGCCCAAGGATGGCCCTGCCCAGCCCAGGCCCCGGCGCATCTCAGGGCAAGGTCTAACATGTCTGAGACTGGCCTCAGGTCAACGACCAGTCTCACGTGTCTGAGACTGGTCTCAAGCTATGCCAGCTACTAAGCCTGTCTGACGTGCCCCAGCCGCTGCCCAAGCAGCTCAGCCCAGCCCCTTCGGCGCAGTCTGAGACTGGTCTCAAAGTATGCCAGCCTGAGACTAGCCTCAGGCCCAGTCCCTCAGCCCGCCTGCTGGCGTGTCTTACGTGTCTGCGACTGGCCTCAGGCCCAGCCCAGCCAGCAACTCGCCACCCAGCCTCAGGCCCAAGTGTGTATGAAACAGGCCTATCCAGCCAGCTCAGCCCAGCCAACTCGCTACCCAGCCTCAGGCCCAAGTGTGTATGAGACAGGCCTTGCCCATCCAGCGACCCGCCCAAGCACAGCTCAGCCCAGCCCGCACAGCCGAAGTTCCAGGCGCAACCAACAGCGTAGTCCGGCTGCCCAGCAGCCAGCAACCCACCCATGGCTTCGCAGCCTCGTGGCTGAGACTAGCTTCAGGCCGCCTAAGCAAACCCCACCCAAGCCCACCCTGTTTGAGACTCGCAGGCCTCAGCCTATCTAGCGCCGAGACCAGCCTGGGCTCAACTAGCATCTAGCCCAGCCCAGTCCGGCTGCTGGCCAGGCCTGTCTGACGTGTCTGAAACTGGCCTCAGCCATGGCCCAGCCCCCTCAGTGCGGCTGCCCAGCCCGCCGTAAACTAGCTTCAGGCCCAGCTCAACCAACAACCCACGCAAGCAAGGTCCAGCCAAGCTGCCGAGACTAGCTTCAGGCCCAGCGCAGGCTTATCTGTATGTAGCCTGTGGCCCAGCCCAACCAGGCGAGGCCGGCTTGTCTGACTTGTCTGGAGCCAGCTTCAGGCCAACCAGCAACCCGCGCGAGCAAGCCACAGCCCGCCCTGCCCAGGCCCCAGGCGCAGGCACCAGCAGCCTGGTCCGGCGCATGGCATCAATTGGCCCAACGTGCCCCAGCCCTTCACTCCGGCTGCCCAAGCAGCGCAGCGAACTGGTGCGGTCACAAGCTTTCAGTAGGATTCGGACCTTCCCAACACTGGATTTCGGTGTTCCTGACCCTTCCCTCAAACTAGGCTGGGCCGAGGCGGGCAGCGCGAAGCGTTTACAATTATGTATTTAAAAACGAATCATGGAAGGTGTTTTGGCTACGAGAAGAGGGGGTAGCTTTGCCGCAATAGTCAATTTAGTATTGCCAGTACTAATTTTAGTATTGCCAATAGATTTTTTTTATCAGATAGAATAATTCAGCAAGGGCCGTAGATTTTCAAGTTCTGATAACACACTTCTCGACTTGCTTTTTACTGCCAGGACTAAACTTAGTATTGCCAATACCTCCTTTCAAAAGGTCATTTTCCAGACCTCGCAGCCTCTGTATCTGACACAAATTATTCTAGTTGTCTGTTCCACTTCCAAGGATTTGCACAGGAATGTCAAGATTTGGGATTACTCGAACTGTCTCATTTATTCATATGTTGTCTCGGTACTGTTTGGGGTTGGGTTAAAAGGAAAGGAGTGCCACCCCGTTTTGGGACATAGTGGGGCACCCTCAAAAACTAAGCAAACACATATTTACTTTCTCTATATATAGTATGTATATGTTTATATATTTGCATACGATTGAATGCATGATGAAGGTTTCTTGGCCCAAACACAAATATTCTAACTGTGCCACCTCATGGTGGTCATTTGTATTTTGGGCTCGGTACCGTTTGGGGTTGGGTTAAAGGGAAAGGAAGGCCACCCCTTGTTGGAGACTAGTGGGGTACCCTCAAAATAAGCACATCCATATCTACTATGTATATATATATAAATATATGTGTGTGTGTGTTTATGTGTGCATACGATTAATTGCCTAATGAAGGTTCCCGGCCCAAAAACAAACATTACATCTGTGCCCCCCGATGGTGTACAATGTATAGCTTCGGCTCGGTATCGTTTGGGGTTGGGCTAAAGGGAAAGGAAGGCCACGCTTTTGGACCCTCAAAGAATAAACAAAACAATATTTACTATCTCTATATCTTTTATTGTGCCTACGATTCATCACCTGATGAAGTTTTGCCAAAAACACATATTCTAACTGTGCCACCCCATGGTGTTCATTTGTATTTTGGGCTCGGTACCGTTTGGGGTTGGGTCAAAGGGAAAGGAAGGCCACCCCTTGTTGGAGTGTACTGAAGTGCCCTTAAAAAATAAGCCATCCAATGCTTGCTATCTCTCTCTATATATATATATATATATTAAAGTGTGGCCTGATGAAGGTTTTCCGGCCCAAAAACACATATTCTATCTGTGCCTCCCCATGGTGTTTATGTATAGCTTCGGCTCGGTATCGTTTGGGGTTGGGCTAAAGGGAAAGGAAGGCCACGCTTTTGGACCCTCAAAGAATAAACAAATCAATATTTACTATCTCTATATCTTTCATTATGCCTACGATTCATCACCTGATGAAGTTTTGCCAAAAAAATATTCTAACTGTGCCACCCCATGGTGTTCATTTGTATTTTGGGCTCGGTACCGTTTGGGGTTGGATTAAAGGGAAAGGAAGGCCACGCTTTTGGACCCTCAAAGAATAAACAAAACAACATTTACTATCTCTATATCTTTATTATGCCTCTGATGAAGTTTTGCCAAAAACAAGTATTCTAACTGTGCGCCCCCATGGTGTTCATGCATATTTTGGGCTCGGTGCCGTTTGTGGTTGGGTTAAAGGGAAAGGAAGGCCACCCCTTGTTGGAATATACTGGGGTACCCTCAAAAAATAAGCAATCCAATATTTACTATCTCTATATTTAGTAATTTATGCATACGATGAATCACCTGATGAAGGTTTGCAAAAGCAAATATTCTATGTGCCCCCCCCCCAAAGGTGTTCATGAATATTTTGGGAGAGGGGCATGGCCCGTCGGGCTGAGCATTTGAGCTCCGAAAAAAGGAGAAGCCATGCATTCCTCTGGTAAATGCGTGTGTCTTTCTTAGGGGGACCCCTCAAAACGGTTGGTTTCCGTTTGGTTTTGCATATACCCTTGAAAGAGAGACGGACCCAAATGGAAAATCATGGGACCCACATGGTTTGCTGAAAGCCGTATATAGAAATATCTAGCAACGGGCTAGCAGCTAGGACATTTATCGCAGAGTAGTTGTTCATAGCAGAAACCCTTATTTTGAAATATTCTATCTGTTTGTGGGAGAGGGGCATGGCCCGTCGGGCTGAGCATTTGAGCTCCGAAAAAAGGAGAAGCGAGGCATTCCTCTGGTAAATGCGTGTGGGTTTCCGATTGGTTTTGCATATACCCTTGAAAGAGAGACGGACCCAAATGGAAAATCATGGGACCCACATGGTTTGCTGAAAGCCGTATATAGAAATATCTAGCAACGGGCTAGCAGCTAGGACATTTATCGCAGAGTAGTTGTTCATAGCAGAAACCCTTATTTTGAAATATTATATCTGTTGTGTTCTCTTAAAAAAAAAAAAACTATATTTGTTTATTATTTGTTTATTCTAACTGTGTTTCCTATTTATTCTAACTCATTTTTTGATAGACGTTTGAAATGTGCATGTTCATTTACTCTAAAAAAATATAATTCTATCTGCTAGCCCGATACTATACATAATAGCTTTAAGACGCAGCACCAGAATCTTGTTACACAAGGCAAGCTTTTGCTGGCGGCGTGCCGGAAAAGTGAAACAACACTTTGTGCAGTGTCCCTCATAGGAAACGCGTGGTTTGGACTCTTGGGTCCGGGATGCCAAGGGCTTTCACGGTGATTGTTCGCTGTCCAGCTGCGTTGTTGCTTTGACAAACAAACAAACAAACAAACAAACAAACAGCATTTCGTCCAGGCCTCGAGGGGAACAGGGTGGGATGGCCTTAAAGCAAATGGGGCTCTGGATATACAAACACTCGGTTGCTTTCTGCTCCCCTGCTAAAAGTTTAACTTCTAGTGATTTAGTGGAAAACCCCACTAGTTGGCAAAAAGTTAAAGTCCAACATCCAAGAAACAAATGCGACAAAGAACACACGCTTTCCTTTAATGCCCCTAAGTGGAGCACAATTGCTCCAAAAGCATTCATTTCAAATCTGGTCAAGCACATATTCGCACTTCCGAGCCGGAAAAGAACCTACAACTGGAAAGAAGTAGCCAAGTCCAGACTGGTGCTGGGCGAGGTACTCTCCCCGAGCAACGGCGCCCAGCGCATAGCACCCCGTGCACCAGCACCCTGCATCACACCCGTCTTGTCTAGGTGACGCTAGGACCTTTATGGCTTCCAGCTGCGTGGGGCAAAACTGACAAATGAAGACTTCGAAGCAACATCAGCCAAGCTTCACTTCGTAGGAGCCACAGCGCAAGAAGCAAGGCGCCAAATCGTAGTGGCTTGCGCATGCCCACAGATGGGAAGTGTCCGCGGCTTTGGCGGGGGAGAGGTACTTTTCCACTTCATTGCTGAGCGTGATGCGTTTGCCTCCCCCTTTTCTTGCGTGACTGCCTGAAACCTGCCTCCAGAGTTGTCAAGCATTGCTTTGTTTTGTTTACAGGGAATGGAACATTGCCTCAACAGCTGAACAGCACAGAGCTTTGCAAGGCTGTTGGATACACTGGCTTCGTAATTGATCGTGGCAACGTTCTCTCTCAAGCCCTTGCGAGCCCAAGGCTGGAAACAGCAGACACAAGTCCATGTTGCAAATGCCTTCATTTGGACAATGCGCAAAACCTAGGGTCTGGGTCAAATGCCACCTCTTCGAAGTCCAGGGTGCCTCAACAAGCGCAAGCCGCTTGTTGAAGAGGTGAAGCTGGGAGTGGCACCATTGCGGTCTCTGTCCACCAAGTCGAGCACCTGCCAAAAATCAGGCATTTGGGAAATTGACTTTCACGACTGGGGCCGTCCTCCTTCACCCGGCTACGCAGTGGAGTTATGCCCACAGCACCCTGGCACGCAAGCCATGAACGAGGGGCATTCCGATCTCTCGGGCTGCCGCCAAGTAGTGTAGCAGCTCTTGAACCGAAACGTTCCCATTGCTGTCCTGCCGAGCTTGGCGCCAACCCCGCTAGTCACAGAAAACCGGCCTTGTCCATGGACTTGAAGGTCTCCTCCATGAAGTCTTTCCTCCAATGGCCAACACTAGTGTTCTACAGTCAGCACTGCATGCATACCAGGAAAAACGCAACCGGAACTGGAAGGGCGTTCTGAGCGCAACGCTCTCTTAACAGCCACTTCCTTAGCACAATCTCTCCGTCTTTCTACCTTCCACCGTGGCCAAAGGGCAGCTCAAGGAGCCCGGAGTGAAATCCCTGAAGAAACCCAAGAACCCGGCCCGAGGTACCCAACCTTGCACACCCAGACTATTCTGCCCAGACTATGCCCAGACTACTTCCGAACAACTCGCCTCTTCACAAATGGCTCTGCGCAAGTAGCTCCGAGCAGAAGGAACTCTTCTCAAGTTAGCTCTGTAAGATGGTTCTGTGCAACTGAATTTGTGCAAATGCGCAAGTAGCTCCATGCAATTGGCTCTGCACAAGCTCTGTGCAGATGAAGTAGTAGGAAGAGCAATTGTGGACATAGCAGTCGTTGTCACATTGGAAGTACAAATGGCAACGCTGGCAATGATGCTCATATTGAGCGATAACAACAAAGTAGCAGTTAGCGCAGCAGAAACAAAAGCAATAACAAGAGTAGCTGTTGTTGTAGTATGTAGCAGTCGTAGTAGTAGTTATTGTTCTCGTAGCTGTAACAGTAGTAGCAGCAGCAGCAGCAGCAGCAGTAGTAGTAGTAGTAGTAGCAGCAGTCGTAGGATTCTAACTTACTAACCGCCCTCGCCTGCAGAGTGCACCGGATGCTAACTTTCTCACGGCCTTCTCCTTTCTGTGGTCCGGGACGAATTACTTTTGTTGGGGACTGTTTTTTTGATGCGCATACCGTAGGCGGAATCTTTCCTGATTGAGGACCTGTTTGGTCAACTCTTCGTCTTCTGGCAGTGGCTCAGCCATCGCCCATTGGCCGCAAAGCGTCTCAATGATATCTGTGAGGTCTGTGAGGTCCACTTGCTGGGAATATGGTGCCACCTGAGCTAGAGCGAAGCCACGCTGGCTAAGGCACGCGAAAGCGCGAGCCTCGTTGATGATCTTAGCAAGCAGCTGCCTGTCTGGACTATGAATACCTGGAGGCATCGATGAATACAAAGCCGCCGCAAAAGCAGCAAGAGTGAGATGCACAAGCTAAGGGAAGTTCCAAACTCTTCCAGCACCTGATGCACCAAGTCCTGAGGCATTAGAAGGAGCCCCCGCACACGGCTAACGTCTCAGATGCTGTCCTTCGGGATGAGCTTCGAGTCACGATCGCAGTGGCTGTCAAACAGCCGTTGAATGCTCTGCACCTTGGCCATCAGCGAGCCAATCGCTTGCGGCCCTGATGGCAAAGCGTGCATTCAGCCGAGTAACATTGTCTTCCGACAAAAGGGTGCCTGCGGGTCACTGCGGATCACTTGCCCTCATCTACATGATGTGAACTTTCCGACTTGCCAAGTCGAGGCAATTGGCGTGCCCTGGCCTGACTTGATCCGCTGAAGAAAATCGCTCGTATCAGAAAGCACCCCCCAATCCTGCATTGGCGGCATCACGACAGAATCAAAGAGGGTGCATGGGACGACTACTTGCCCAATAGAGGAAGCACAATTGACACGAGAAGTGATGCGCATCTCCTCTGAAGGGGCGCCTTCCATGTCAGGCTCTGACTTCAAACCCGCATGACTGTATGTGATGCAGCCCGTTCAAAAGAATGAATGCAAAGCCAATTAGGCTAAGTCATCCTAAGCACAGGCCTGAACCATCAGTCAGTCGTTCCACTATTGCCTGACAGTGTGCTCCGTGCACCCGTTCGCCGTCATGCGCAGGACCAGCCCGAAGCCGGCCTTGTCCGCTTCGGCTTGTCCTATACTGCTTCTCCTCCGCCGCGCTCTCCGCCGCGGCTTCCTCAGCCCCAAGCACACAGGGCACATGCGGAAACCAGGCCCCGTTTCATCTCAAGCCCTGAGGCGCGAACGGGGCCGGTAGCTTTATCTCCTTGGCGCATGGGGAAACAGAGGCAACCCTTGGTGAGACAACCCTTGGTGTGCACAACTCCACGCGTGGAGTTGGCAGGCCGTGCATCAGCAGCATCCTTTTGAAAGCGCCCTGCATAACAACTGTGGCTTCGATGCCTCGCACTTACAAATGAGGAGGCATCGGCATTCACAATCAAACCTCCATGGAAAATGTTTTGTTCCACATCTTGTTGTTGATTCGCTTCATCATGGCCTTCAGCTGCTTCTGTGGCCCGCACTCGTAAAATTCCGTGATCCCATCTTGGATCATCTTCTCAATGAGCGGGTTCCACAGGACGGGGCTGGTGAGCTGTTTCTGCAAGAGCCCAAGGATGACTTTGGGGTCCGTCCCAGCAGGCAGGGGCTGACCGGTGACGTTCATGTAGACATCACAGTTGGGAGGCTTCATCTTGGGAAAAGCCTCCTGCAGGGCCTTCTCAAGCTTCTCCTGCGCGGGCTGCATGAGGGAGGTGTGGAAGGCCCCCCCCGTCTTCAGCATCTTGGCTTGCAGCGCGCCCTTGCTCTCCGCCAAGGTCTTCAGCTCGTTCACCGCCTTTTCTGTGCCCGCGCAGGAGAAGCCCTTAGGAAAGAGGGCGTTGGCGATGCGGCACACGCTGCCAGGCCCCGCCTTCTTCTCCGCATCTACGCAGCACTGCTCCAGCAGCTTCTGCTCCAAGCCAGCCACCGACAGCATTGCCTGTTTCCCCACCTGGGCAGCCTCCTGCATGGCCTCCCCACGCAGCTTCACCAACCGCAGGCCGTCCTCAAAGCTCAGCACTCCCGCTGCACACAGCGCCGTGTACTCGCCCAAGGAGAGTCCGGCCATGCACCGCGGCTGCTCTGCCGCGGGCTGGTTCTGCGACTTCAGCTTGCAAATGCCAGCGAGGCCCCCAACAAACATGGCCGGCTGGCAAAACTTGGTCTCAGCCAGCTTGTCCTCTGGCCCCTTCAGGCACATATCCAAGAGGTCATATCCCAAAATATCTTTGGCCTGGGAAAGCATCTCCTTCACCTCTGCGTTGTCCTTCACGCCATCCAACATGTTGACATACTGGGAGCCTTGCCCTGGAAAAATCAATGCTATTGGCAAGGTCTCCTTTGCCTTGTCAGCCTTTTCGGCCTTTTCGGCTTTCGCTGTTGCAGAGCTTTTCGCTGCAGCCTTTGGTGCAGTCGGTTCGGACTTTGGCTCAACCTTAGGCTCAGGCTTGGGCTCTGCATACAGCTTTCGATTGTTTCCAATGCCATCTGCTTGGTACCAACCCGGCGGCGTCTTCTCCTCTGCGGCTTTCAAGAGAGACACTAGGCTCTCGTGCTTGAACTTTGCCGCCTTGTCCCTGGCAGTTTCTCCGGTCTTGGGATCCTTGCCCTCTGGCACCACGCAGCGCACGTGGGGGTCGGCCTGGGCTTCTAGGAGGAGCTTCACCGCGGCCTCCTGGCCCGCCATGGCTGCCATGTGAAGCGCATTCACGTCGGTCAAGTGCATGTTCACCTGCACGAGGCATGCGCGCGCATGCCTTTGCAAAGCCCAACTCAAACCCCTGCCACCTTTTGCTGGGGATTCGGAAAAGGGAAGAGCGTTCAAAAGGTGCTTCCACTTTTCATCTGGGGCGCGTCCCCGTTGAAAACCTCATCCTCTGCACCACTGCGCAATAGGACTTCCAACTTTGCCATGTCGCCGCGGTAAGCTGCATCGCAAAGCACATCCAAAGTGACAGCGTTGTACTTCTTATACCGGGCCGCATTTGGAATTGGGTTGATGAACCGCGCGGGCGCAGGGGCCATGATGGCGGGAAAAATGCTCGGTGCTACAAAAATGGTCACGTCCGCAATGCACTTGTACCATGTGGCCGCCTAAAAGCAGTCGGAAAATATTTGGCGCTTCTGTTCGGCAGCTGCAGTGTGAGCCAAACGTTGAAGGCCAGCTCCGGCTCAAGAGCGCGCTACGCATGGCCGCACAAGGCCGTACCAAGCTTCTCAACCTGAGCGCCCTGCTGGTTCTGGCAGCCTTGGAGCTGAGGCGAGGGTCTTGGAGATCCAGTCCTGGACCTCAGACTCTCAAGTACAAGGCCCTCGTGTCTGCGCTGCATCGCCTCCGTTTGGTTCGGGTGGCTCGTTCTGGAGAAGTCCCAGTCCGCAGGACCTGGAGTCGAGCTGGTTCCGAGAGGCTCCGGGAGGCTCCGGGAAAACTCGGGGCTCCAAGCTCAAGCCTTGCGTTGGCCCAAGCAACTTCTTGAGGTCGAGGACCCGCCGCACCATGGGCGCTAGCTCTGGGTCCTTGGCTTCAGCCAGCAGCCCCAACCGGATTGCCCCAAAGGCCCAAACATCGTCGAAGCTCCCAGGGCCTTGGGATGGTGTGTTTGGTGAACAACTTCACCCCGACAAAGGCCCGGGCATATGTAGCGCGCCCGGGCTGGAGGGTCATACCTGTGAGCAGCCGCGCCCGCTGCACAAGCTGTACAAGCTGTACAAGCTTGCTGGTACCAGCGTACTAAGGTACCAAGGGGCGCACACGTCCGCCGAGAGCAAGCCTGACCCCAAGCTTTGCGCTGCCGTCAAAAATAGTCCAGCCAAAGCTCACACAAGAAAATACCGATGCCTCCATTCTTCGTATCAGCCGCTTTCCTAAGGGAATTTGATATGCACGCTGAAGAGGAGACGCTAGAACCCGGCAGTTTGCTCAGCGATTTCTGCGCTTGAAGCTTGAAGGCAGAATGGCGCTCTCTTTCCTGCGGTATGGGTTTCATAGGTGAAGCGGGACACAACATGGCTCCAGCAAAGCCAGCGCGCAAAAAAATGCCAAATTGAATGAAAGCACGCAGACACAGCCATAGACACAGACATCACAGACATCCGAAGACAAGACACAGAAACAGTCACAGAAACAGAAACAGACACTGACACAAACACTGACACAGACACAGACACAGACACAGACACACACACACACACACACACACAGACACACAGACACACACACACACACACACACACACACACACACACAGACACACAGACACACAGACACACAGACACACTGACGCACAGACACACAGACACACAGCCACACAGACACAGACACACAGACACACAGACACACAGAGACACAGAGACACAGAGACACAGAGACACAGAGACATAGAGACACAGAGACACAGAGACACAGAGACACAGAGACACAGAGACACAGAGACACAGAGACACAGAGACACAGAGACACAGAGACACAGAGACACAGAGACACAGAGACACAGAGACACAGAGACACAGAGACACAGAGACACAGAGACACAGAGACACAGAGACACAGAGACACAGAGACACAGAGACACAGAGACACAGAGACACAGAGACAGAGAGACACAGACACAGAGACACACGACACAGAGACACACACACGGGTGCCGGTCGGGTCGGGTACCCCGAGCCGACGACGGGTCAGCAACCCCGAGAAGGTCGAAATGAATACCCGCAAGTTTCCGGAAACATGTGTTCAGGAAGCTTAATAGTTGTTTTCCAGAAGCATGCTGGCTTCAGGAAACTAATTTTGCTTCTTAGCTATCAATTTCGTGAAAGGCTACCTCTGAAAGGGTTGTTGCCGAATTCGTGATACCACCCAGTCTTTCCCGCAACCATTTCCTGACACCGCCAAACCTTTCCTGAAACCACCGGCCAGTTTTTCATGAAACACCCCAGCCTTTCCTGATACCACACAACCCTTCCTAAAACCACCCAGCCTTTCCTGAAACCGCCACCCAGCCTGCAACCACACAGCCTGAAACCCCGCCTATCCTGAAACCAAACAGCCTCGCCGGAAACCACACAGTCTTCCTGAAACCACCCGGCACCTCCTGAAACCTCAAAGCCTCTCCTGAAACCACCAACCAATCTTTCATGAACCCCCCCCCCCCCAACGTTGCCTGAAACCACGCAGCCTTTCCTAAAACAACCCAGTCTTCCTAAAACCACCCGGCACCTCCTGAAACCACCCGGCCTTTCCTGATTGGGCTTCCCGTTCTTCCCAACATCATGGGGGGGGCCGCCGGCCCCCCGACCCCCCGCTGTGTTTTTAGTTTATGCGCACCTTTGATTGAATCGTCACCCTTCCCAACATCCCCTTCCCAACATCATGGGGGGGGCTGCCGCCCCCCGACCCAAACCTAACCCCAAATGAACCCCGAATGAACCCCCGAAGCTGGCCCTAAACCTGACCAAAACCAAACCTAAAACCAACCCAAAACTAAACCTAAACCAAACCTAAAACATCCTAAAACCAAACCTAAACCAAACCTAAAACCACACCTAAATCAGCCCTAAGGGAGCCTTAAACAAACCCTAAACCTCACCTAAATCAACCCTGAACCATCAGACTTCCAACATCATATGCGACACACACTTTCGTGTGACCCCACAGCCTCGCCGGAAACCACACGACACCTCCTGAAACCACGCAGCCTTTCCTGAAACCACGCAGCCTTTCCTGAAACCACGCGGCTTTTCCTGGAAACACCCCAGACTTTCCTGACACCAACAAACCTCTCCTGAAACCACTTCTTGAAACAACCACCCAGCCTGAAGCCACACAGCCTCTCCCGAAACCACCTAGTCTTTCCTGAAACCACCCGACACCTCCTTTCCTAAATTCATACACACTTCCGTGAAACCACACAGCCTCACTCAGCCTTTTCTGAAACCACCCAGCACCTCCTCAAACCACACAGCCTTTCCTGAAACCGTCCAGTCTTTCCTGAAACCACCAATCACTCTTTCATGACCGCCCTAGCCTTTCCTGCAACCACAGACCTCTAAAACCCTAAACCAACCCTAAACCAACCCTAAACCGACCCTAAACCAACCCTAAACCGACCCTAAACCGACCCTAAACCGACCCTAAACCGACCCTAAACCGACCCTAAACCGACCCTAAACCGACCCTAAACCAACCCTAAACCAACCCTAAACCAACCCTAAACCAACCCTAACCCAACCCTAAACCAACCCTAAAACAACCCTAAACCAACCCTAAACCAACCCTAAACCAACCCTAAACCGACCCTAAACCAACCCTAAACCAACCCTAAACCAACCCTAAAACAACCTCTAAACCAATCCTAACCAACCCTAAACTGGCCCTAAACCTGATCTAAACCAACCCTAAACCAACCCTAAACCAACCCTAAACCGACCCTAAAACAACCTCTAAAACCACCTAAACCAAACCTAAAACCAACCCTAAACCAAACCTAAACCAAACCTAAAACCACACCTAAAACATCCTAAAACCAAACCTAAACCAAACCTAAAACCACACCTAAATCAACCCTGAACCATCAGACTTCCAACATCATATGCGACACACACTTTCGTGAAACCCCACAGCCTCGCCGGAAACCACACGACACCTCCTGAAACCACGCAGCCTTTCCTGAAACCACGCAGCCTTTCCTGAAACCACGCAGCTTTTCCTGGAAACACCCCAGACTTTCCTGACACCAACAAACCTCTCCTGAAACCACTTCTTGAAACAACCACCCAGCCTGAAGCCACACAGCCTCTCCCGAAACCACCTAGTCTTTCCTGAAACCACCCGGCACCTCCTTTCCTAAATTCATACACACTTCCGTGAAACCACACAGCCTCACTCAGCCTTTTCTGAAACCACCCAGCACCTCCTGAAACCACACAGCCTTTCCTGAAACCGTCCAGTCTTTCCTGAAACCACCAATCACTCTTTCATGAACCGCCCCAGCCTTTCCTGCAACCACAGACCTCTAAACCAACCCTAAACCAACCCCAAACAAACCCTAAACCAACCCTACCAACCCTAAACCGACCCTAAACCGACCCTAAACCCCTAAACCAACCCTAAACCAACCCTAAACCAACCCTAAACCAACCCAAACCAACCCTAAAACCCTAAACCGACCCTAAACCCTAAACCGACCCTAAACCAACCCTAAACCAACCCTAAACCAACCCTAAACCAACCCTAAACCCTACCCTAAACCGACCCTAAACCGACCCCAGACCAATCCTAAACCAACCCAAACCAACCCTCACACAACCCTAAACCAACCCTAACCAACCCTAAACCGACCCTAAACCGACCCTAAACCAACCCTAAACCAACCCTAAACCAACCTTAAAACAACCTCTCAAACCACCTAAACCAAACCCAAGCTTTCCTGAAACCGCCCAGCCTTTCCTGCAACCACACAGCCTTCCCCACGTAGCCTTTCCTGGAACCACCCCAGACTTTCCTGACACCACCAAACCTTTCCTGCAACACCGCCCAGTCTTTCATGCAACACACAGCCTTTCCTGAAACCACCCGGGCTTTCCTGGAACAACCCGGCATCTCCTGAAACCACCGAGCCTTTCCTTTCGTGAAACGACTGCCAGCCAGGTCTCGATTCCACCGAAACACGGTACCTGATCCGAGGTAGCTGACCCAGGTACCTGATTCAAGCCTTGGGGTATCTGACTCGACCAACTCCCACACACACACACACACACACAGACACTTCTATATATATATACCCCACCTGCTTCTTTCTCCGCCACTGGTACCTCAGCATAGCACCCTTTCTCGACGCTTCTTGATCAAGGGTCCCTGCTGCATGCGATACTTGGCAAAGGCACTGTGTTGTCGTTCTCATCAAGTCTTTTGCCCCCCTGGCAGGCATAGGAGAATGACCAAGCTTCCCCCTCCAGGCCACGCGGCTGGGCTCGCAAGGCTCGAATGATGAGGCTCCGGCTTTGACTTCCCAAACCTTGGACTTGGGCCGCGGCCAATGGTCGCACAGTACACTCTTCACCGGGTTTCGAGCGAAGTCTGCGTCACCTCAGGTCCCGAAGCCAGAACTCCCCGAAAAGCACCCACGGCTGAATGGCCAGCTAAGTTAGCTTCCTCGGCCGGTGGCGGCAAGGGGCCTGAAAGAAAGCGAGCCAACCAAGGCATGCCAAAGCTGCCTGGACACAGCATGCCTCAACTCACAGGCCCCGCCTAGGGATGTGCAGCTCGACGTCATGCTCCAAATCCTGCCAAAAACTGGGCACAGTGATCCCAAGCGTGCTTCACAATAAATATTTGACACCTTCACGCCAGTTGAACAGGCCGTGTGGCACTGAGCTGGCAGGCTGCCATGAAACTCTCGCAAAGCGTTTGCTCCCGGGGATAGAGGGCCATGTTCTACTGGATGCCTCTAGACGCATGCCTATGTGCGTGCGTGTGTGGGGGTGCGTCTAAATCTATTCCTACATGACGGAATCATGGAAGCTGGCACAGGCAAATCTTGTGCCGCCTGGCCCTGAGCTATGGATTTCCGGCATAGAACCGCGCAGTCTCCATATTAAGCCCCAAAATCCTGCCCGCGCATACTTGAGCTACGCATTGCAATTGTGCGCAGGCCTTTTTGCCAAGCAATGCACGCAATTAGCCGTGGCGTGGCCGTTCAGCCCCACACATCCTCTCCCCACACCTGCTCAGGATCTGGGCAGGCATTGCGCACCCACTTGCCCAAAAGCAAGCCCGGCACCCACATCCCGCGTGACATGCTGAAACGTGCTCAGGTTTCGACGTCAATCTTTGCAGCTTTGCTCCTCTCGAGGGAATGTTGTGTTCCATACATCCCGCAACAGCGCTCCCAAGCCTGTCGCAGGTCTTCGTCGGAGCTTGTGACACCACCCTGCAAGTTACCAAGGTACAGCTTTGGTCTTATCAGCACGGATCTCTTCCTCCATGTAATTAAAAGTGCGCACATGTCGCCTGGTTCTGTCCTGTGTATTTGCTCCCGGCCCGGACCGTCTTTGCAAGCTGACTAGAAGATTGACAGGTTAGCAAGTTGAACTTCATTGTAGCCTCAGCAGCCTCAGCTCAGCAGCACAAAAAACGTCTAGCTTCTGTTCCTTTTCAGTTGTAGGAAGACGCTGCGCATAATCCTCAGCAGCGTCTGGCATAAACAGCGTGCTGTCCCTGCTCAAAAAATATAATCTGAAGGGCATGGCATCCTTTGCACCAGCCTAGTGCTGGTCGACTGGGTTCAATTTGATCAAAAATTGTCACATTCAAACCCTGCCGAAACAGCTAAACGCTTCACAGGTTTCTAGGCTCACAAGTTTCGCTCGCGCGCGCGTTGAAGCCAACTCAGTCATCTGCTCCCTTGCGCAGGCGATGACTGGCCCTGGCGCCGGCAAGGTGGGCACTGACCTCAACGGGAACAAAGCAAACTGCCGATTTCAGCGATGTGACTTTTGCTCCTACCTCGCCGGACTATCTGGAGAATCTTCCCGGACAGAGGCCTGCAAAAGAACGACCAGCGGAGTTGGCAAGAAAAGAGCTGTTGCTCCACCCTCCTGTTTGAACGTTTGTGTCTTGGTACCTGCTATGGTCTTGCAAATGGTTTGTTATGGTCTGCATGCCACCCGCCTGGAGAGAGGTGCGGTACTGCACGACTGCAGCTGAAGAGTATCGCTGCTCCAATGTAGTACCTGCATGCCACTTGGCCAAGGTCTGTTTATGGCTGCGCGGCATCCCAATTCCCCCGAAGCGCGTCTGGGCATCCTTTTCTGCTGGATTTGTGCTGAAGAGATCCTTCCATAAACCAATTCCAGGATTAAACGTGCCTTGCCCCAGTTCTTCAAACTGGGATGCAACAGCTAGAACCATTTGCTCAAACAGCAGGCAATTAAAGGCCTCGTGTGTATGCAAATCTCCGCGGCAAATCGCTACACAGCCACCTGCGATCACTCAGATGTTCGTGATTTCGGCCATCATCTGCACAAACTCATCAAATTCGAGAGTGCCGCTCCGATCCTCCAGAGGGGCAAGGCATCTGAGCAACTTTGTTGCAACCAGAAGGCAGTCCTGGTCATACCGTCGAGCCACCACGAGCAGCCTTGGCAAAGGTACTCATTTCTACAACCAAAGGTTGGCTACATGTTGTGCAGCCAAGCTGCTGCTCAATCCTTGGGGTAAAGATGGGGATTGAAGAAAAGTCTAGACGCATGGAAATGACGGACTGGCAAAAAGCGCTTTCACCTGATTCCGGAAGTCGTGGCACTGGAGAAGGGCAAGGTTCTTGCCTTGACAAGGTGCGGCAGTGGTAGGCCGCTCTGAGCAAACGCCACCCCCAGCTCTTCCAGGCTGATGGAACCTGATCCTCAATCGAGGCGCAGTTTAGCATCGGTTCCAATCGGCTTGCCGGGTAAAAACGATCGCTGGCTCGAATCGATGTTTAACTTAAAGGGCATTTGGTTCCAATCCTCTCGTGACTCAGTGCCACCAATCAGGATACTAAGCCTTTCCTTGTCCATCCGCAGTTTGCTTGGTGCGCAGGCAAGCGTCTATCCTGGTCCACGGCGCTAAATTTTGTCTTCTGCTCCTGCAACGCCAAGCTCTCAACACAGCTGGTCCGGCGGCATCCTGTCCTTCAAGAACTCCATGAGGATGCAGAACTGCTCAAACGTGAGCAAAACGGCCCCTCCGGAGAACTTCCGGATCCTTGAGTACGTCGACCACCCAAGAACAAAGCGCGAATGCGCGAATCTAACCAAGACAGGTTGCAGCAGCTCAGCGGTGGTATGCAGGAAGGGCCGGGGCACCTGGGTACAGCGGACATATTCTCTGGCTTTCAATGCGAGTGTCTTCCGCAGGCGCCTTGAACATGGAGTTGTAGAACATGGGCGCCAAGAAGTGCCCCGCGTTGAAGCCAGAAAGGCCTGACCAGCTCAATCTGGATTGCGCTTTTGGGCCCAGTGGGTAGAGAAGCTGCCTGCACAGAGTGGGTTCATAGCCAGGTCGTGCAGAGGCTCCAGTGACCTTGCAAGCAAAGCACTCAGAGAGAGCACACTTCACCCTCGTCCCTGCATACTTGGGAAACCACTGCTTGATCGCCTCAAGAATTGTCAACCTGAGTGTGACAGCTTCTTCGCGTGTCCACAACTCTGAAAGGATGGAATTGTGAGTGCTTCAAAGTCGCAGCTGCTGTGGGGCGATTGCATTGGCACCCGCCGGCACATGTGCAGCCCAGCTATCCAAATAGGAATCCCATTCCTCAGCTCTGCAGCGAGCCACGACGTGGTGTGTCATGCATGGCTGCATGGCGTGCTACCATTTGATCCAAATCTCCAATCGGAGTTGTACAAACCTCAGAGTCTTCGAGCTCCACGAGCTACAAACATCAATCGGGCGCGTGGCGCGTGTACGCTTTGGCTCCCGGCTCATCAAAGGTCAAGACACCGTTGCCATCCTTGCATCCAAACGCTTTGCCAACAGTACATTGATGGCACTCACAGACTTGGACCAAAAAGCAAGGGTGTGCAACATTGCCCATTCAAGCCTCACAAGCTGCAATGCAAACAATACATTAGCACCTTCGCACTTAAGCATGTGATTCTGCAGTCAGGGCTCAGCGTCATATGCCCGGCCGATCCTTTCTGCTACCTTTGAAAACGGCAACAAGTACCGAGTGGGGAGAGCTGCATATAATTTCAGCCCTTACCTGCCACACGGCAAAGCCAAGCTGCTGCAAGGCTGAGTGCGTCTCCACCTGGGAAATGAGAACTGCAGGCGAATCAACGAATCCTTATTCCAAGCAAACGACCACCATCTGGCAGTCCGGTGACCTGGGACAGCCGTCTGAACCAACTTTAAACCGCAGGGCCACGTGCGCCTGCGCGCCTAGGGAGCGGGCGTTGAAGCCAGAGAGCTTCAGGGCGCGGCTGAGCTCCGACACCGAGATGTCCCCAGTCCTAAAGACACTCCAGGCAGCTCAGCTCGCTTTGTGGGGCGCTTTACTCAATGCCTCAATGGACAAGTTCCGTGACAAGCAAGGGCCTTATAGCTCAAAACGGCAGCCGAAGCTCCTGTCTGTATCAATCTGTGTAAAGATGTTCTTGACACTCTCGAGGTACTGCGCGAGTCCACGATCAAGAGTACAAGCAGGCACTTGTGATATAATACAATGCAAGTTCAGGGTTAGCTTATACTGCTAACCTGAAGGGGAGAAAATTCCCTTGGGCAAGGGTCAAAGCCTATTTGCATGCTTCAACATCAACATTGCTTGAGAAAGCCCGCTAGCAAGGGCAAGGACCGACCAGTGCCCGTGCCGTGCCTGCAACATCTCCTTGGGGCAAAGCGGTCTTCACAAGCAGCGCCCTCATGATAATCACAAAACTGAAAGTCGTAAAAAAGAGGCTGCCATCAGGTAGCAGAAAGGCTCTGCGGTGACAAGGTGAAGAGGTGACGAAGTGATCAGGTGATTCTGTGATGGGGAGGGGATGATGAGGGAGGTGGTGAGGTGATAGGAGAATGCGTGATGAGGCTCTGCGTGGACAAGGCAAAGTGGCTAGTGCTGAGGTGCGCTTTGGTTGTGTGGTGATGAGACGATAGATCAGGTGATGAGGTAACCCGCATGTACTTCAGCCAGGTCGCGCAAAACTCTTGCAATCGGATTTGCCCGCCGCCTTGACGGGCATACTTGCCGGCCAGCCATAGTATCTCAGTGTTGGCAGCTGCCATGATTCGGCTGGGGGACAAATAACTGAGTCTCAGGCTGTTTTTGCGTGAAAGGGTCTTTCAAACATAGACTGCTGGGTGCCAGATTCCTCAGGAACGCACAAAAAACTCCAGAGCATGGAGGGGTGGTCGGTGAAGCGTCAAAGGTTTAGCACACTTCCCTGCATGATGGAATGATGCATCGAACCTTGCAAAGAGGGAAGCAGACGTCGCCGCAGTTGACAGACATGAAAGTCGGCAAAGCCACGATGTCACTCATTGCCCGACCGAACGGGGACAGGCTGGTAAAAATACTGTAGGCGCGAGTGGAATTTCTCCCCCCTTGGATGTCTCCAGCAATCCGGACCGCCGCCCAGCCACGCCGGCCGATCCTTGAACCACAACCCTTGAACCAACCCTAAACCCACCTTCAATGAGCCCAAGACCACTCTAAGCCAGATCCATCCACCAACCCCAACCATGAATCAACCCTATCCTTGCCCCTGGCCTTTCGGAGCCAAGCAGCAACGCTCCTCTTCACGGCTTGCACCGCATTGTTCAGCTCCTGCTGGTCAAATGTGGGAGAACGCCAACCTCCAAACACGACTGTGCGAAACCATGTGGCAACTGCATAAAGGGCGACAAACTATACCAGAAAACCCCACATAGCCAGGATGTGTTGTCAGCCAACGAAGTGTGGGAGCCCTTAGGCAGCCCCAAGCGGAGAACCACTACCAATGCATGATATTGATCCAAGCCAACTGCTTCTCCTTTTCCCAACGTCCATCCCTGCGTTCCAACAGCTAAATATGGGAATCCAACTCCAAGTAAAGGAGGGGTGGGTGTGACTCAACATTTCTTCCGGGTGCTGTTCCAGGGTGCTTGTTGCAGGATGCTGTTGCAGGATGCTGTTGCAGGGTGCTGTTGCAGGGTGCTGTTGCAGGGTGCTGCTGCAGGCTGTGACCCAGTTGCTGCTTCCGGTGCAGATTGTGACTCAGAGTTGCGTAGGGTGCTGTGTCAGGGTGCTGCGACTCAGACATTTCCAGGTGCACTACTTTGCAGACACTGTGGGCTGCTGCAGGTTGCTGCCGCAGGGCGCTTTGCCTGCTTTGCCTTGCGGCGCGCGACGGCGGCGACCTGTGATGGAGCGCTACAGCGGCAGCCAGCGTAGCCCTTTCCATTGCAACAGAACAAGCTTGACTCTATGTTCTTTAGAGACATGGGCAGCGCGTGCCTGCTGGCTTCTTGTTCTACGTAGAATGTAGCAGTCTGTTTTTGCAGTGCTGATTTGATGCCAGAAAGAAGTGTTGTGTGCTCTTGCGGCGCGCGTGCCTGATGCGAGTTATCGTTGCTCGCCAGAAAACATTGCGCCATGTTTTGACAAACGTGGGCTCGCGCGGTATCAAGGTTCAAGGAAGGTTCCGGAGGTTCGCGGGTGGTGTGGTGCAGGCCGGGTGTAAGGCTCAAGGTTCTGGAGTAGTGCAGGCGCCTGTTGGCGCAGGCCAGGTGTAAGGCGCAAGCAAGTTTCTCCACTGCAGAGAGCGATGGAACCGGGGAAGGCTCTCAGGTAAGTTTCCGCAAGGTTTTGCGAGAGTTCGAGGGTGCTGGGGACGCACAAGGCGGGGTCTTACGAGGGTTGCACAAGGGTTCCGAGAAGGTTCCAGTTCTGGGGGTGTGCGGGTTTAGGGTTCCGCAAGGGTTGCGGGACAGCGCGGGGCGGTTCTGAGGATCACGTCGTATCCAGTCCGTACGCTGGGTAGGATCTTCCGCAGCTGCAGAACCTATACGGGTGTGGCGCTGTTGGGATATCACCTGTGCTTGTTTTTCGCGGCGCGTTTGCCTGATTCGAATCAGTGCTGCGTTTTTGGATAAGCAGTTTTTGCTGAGCTTGTTGCTCCTTCAATTTGTTTCTTTCCAGGGAGGTCTTTGATATGCTGCTAGAAATGTTATTGCACACTTCTGCGGCGCAGCTGCTTGATGTGAGTGATCATGATCGCCAGAGAATGTAGCGCTGTGCTGTCTGCTGGAGACTTGCCCAGTATGCTGCTGATTGGTCGCCGTAAAAGAAATTTTGTACCTGGGCAGTTGGGAGTAGAATTGCCTGATGCTCATTTGTCCCTGATTGTTCCGCAATAAATTGTGTGTTCTGTTTTGTCAGGGGCAGGCCTTAGCATGATGGTAGCAGCTGCTTTGTTGTTGGAGAATATGGTTGTGCATTTTCGCGGCAAAGCTGCTTGATGCGAATGATTGGCATTTGCGAGTTGGATGATTCTTGGCGCAGCTTTAAGCCAAGAACTAAGGTTAGGACGCAAACCCTAGAATGATCATGTTTGTCGGGAAGACGGTTCCAAAAGACTGTTTGCAACTTTGTCCCTAGAGTTTCCTCGCGGTTGTCCCTTTGACTGCTGAAAAGCTTTGGTGGAGATGAAAAGACAGCCTGTCTAACAATCACAAAGGACAAAGGCTCCTGTAAATCGATGGTGCCGCTGTGGTCACGGTCAAATATCTGAAAGGCGGCCCTAAGCATGACTGCGATTGTGCGAAACTGGCCGAGACATTGTGAAGGGAGAGCCATTGGCAGTAGCAAAGGCGTCACTCCAACCAACCTAGGCAGCGTCTTGCTCTTTCAGCCAAGGATCTGATACTCAGGATTCCTAAGTACATGCTTGCTATCGGGAACATGTGACTGCATTGAGGCCTGCGTTGGGCAGAATGTATTCGAGCACTTGCTTTCAATGGAAGTCTCGTTCATTAATGATGCCGTGCAGCCTGATGCATTGGCGTTTTGCCAGCATGTCAGGTTCCTCAAACATTCCACGCTTTCGACCTGGCCATGCCAAACATTGTGCTGTCACTTCATGCTTCTGGAGTGAAGTTTACCCTAGGTTGAATTTTTGCACAAATGCTTGAAATCTGATCTATGCATGTCTGAATTCGTCCCCTCTTCGAACGTGGAAAATCATCCGCTGAGGCACCGACTGGTGGGCGACATAGATGCCAGCATGGTGAGTGCCACGGTAGGGGATGTTGGCTCGAGCAGCTCGCTAGAAGTGCCATGCAAACATGTCGGCAAGCTCTCTCACATCCACTGATTTTCGGCTGTACTGCGACCTTTTTTGTCCACCTTCGCGCGCAAGCGTGCGCACAACCACCCTTTTTCACGATGCGCTGTGCTGCGGCGACAAGGTGCAACAACTCTTAGAGTTTGATGAATGCTACCACCAATGTGCCACGACTGTGCAACGATCACTAAATATTGATGTGGGCTTTGCCTGAGGTGGCAAGGTAGTGGGCAAGCTCTGCCAGCTGTGGATGATCCTGGGCCACGCTCACCAGCACAGCCCTCAATTCTCTCATCATCCACTGCGTGCCCCGGCGCAAGTCCTCCCGCACAGACTGCGCGCCTGGTTCTGCCAAGCCTTGGCCCTCGAGGCCCTCGAGGCCCTCGAGGCCCTCCAAGCCCTCCAAGCCCTCACAGCAGTTGGCCTCCTCCTCCGTCAGCCAGCACACCTCGCCGGCGCAGCGCACGAAGCGCTGCAGGCGGCACAGGCCCAGGTCGCAGGCGTGGCAGCGGCGCCGCTCCTGGCCCAGGCGGATCAGCCGCGTCAACTCCCGGAGCTCGTCCTTCTTCCGGCGCAGCAGCCAGGCGCGGCGCTGGTTCTCCGCCTCCAGGCGGAGGATCGCCTCCAGGAGCTCGTCCTCGTCCAGCTCGGCCTGGCTGGGCAGGTCCTGGGTCAAAGCCTTCTCATCGCCACCGTACTTCAGGCACACCTGAGAGAACAGCTCCTCTTCCCGGCCCTCGTACTTGGCAAACATAAAGCTCAAGTCTCCCAGCATGGAAGGGTTCTTCTCCTGGTAAATCTTTGTCACCAGCATCTGGTACTGTTGTGGGGTGAAACTGCGAGAGCCTCTCCTTGCGCAGGGGCTCGGCACCAGCTCCTCTGCCTCATCCATGCCCGTAGCGCGACCATTGCTGCATCCTTGCGCCTGCTGGATGTAAGCTATTCTGGGAATGCCTGTTTGCCATCAACTGCAACGCCAGATCCCGGCAAGTGTAAGCACAGGAAACGTCCAAAGTACCCTTACAAAAGAGCATAGCATCTCGTCTTGGCATGTTTCTTAGGTCCTGCTAGTGCCGTCAGTGCTTTACCCTGCTTGCCTCGTAGACTTGACTTGGGCAAGCATATTCCGAAGCAAATGGTTCGCTTGGGCTCTCAAACAAGACCGCTTCAGCAAAGTGACGATCAGGGCTGCAGGCGCACCAAGCAAGTCATTCTCCTGCAACATGCGCACACACACGAAGAAATCAAGAGAAGAAGAATGAAAGAAAAAAGAAAAGAAGGAAAGAAGAGAAGAGAAGGAAAGAGAAAGGGAAAGGGAAAGGGAAAGAGAAAGAGAAAGAGAAGAGAGCACATTGAACTGATGTCCAGCTGGCTCACCAAGCTTTTGTTGCACATTTTGGCGAGGTCCTGGAGCATGTGGTGAAAGAGATCGTTCCCGCCAAGCCTGTGAGGCGAGAAAACAATGATGGCACTAGCCGCATGGCCGAGCTCAGGCCGTGACTCCATCGCTCGCAGCTGCTCAGGCTTCCAGGCATCCATTGTCCTTGACAGTGCCCCAGGCACAACACACTCAGCGCCCAATCAAAACACGGGAATGGCGAAAAGCGTTCTGCGCCATGTATCACACAGAGGTGTCCGAGCACTTCGGCCGGCCGTCAGCTCCACTGAGACCACTGCAATGATCGCACAAAGCTGATGTGCACGCCGAGGCCGCGGTGCCTGTCAAAGCGAGATGTGAGCTTCATGGCAAGCCTGCAAAGCAGCACCTGCCGGAGCAAGCTAGGCCTGGGCTCACGCAGGCCAACCCAAAAGCCAAATTGGTCTGCCACAGCCAGCATAGGACAAGAAATGCCCACGCTTCGGAACAAACCATCGCAAAATCAGGCCCCAGCATAGGAAAACACCGTTTGTGACCTGGGCTTACTGACTTCAGCTGCTGCGAGTCGAACAAAGCACTGAGGCCCGCTCAGACGCCCATTCGGGCCTGTCTGCACTGCAGTCCACACCTCGATGTGCACATGGATGTCTGGGCCGTTTCTGCAAAAATCTGACACGTTTTCCTGTGCCCGGGGCACTTGGCATCTGCTGGCCGCTTCCGCCGCAGGCCCTCCAAAGATTGCAAGTGGAGACTGTGCAAAACGTGATGGCCTCGAGCTGCCTCGAAGAAGCTGCTATTATCCATGGAAGCTGAGCAAGCAAAACGCGATCAGGAAATCCCAGGTCAGTCTGGCTGCAAAATGCTGTGTGCGTGTGACTATAACGCCCTGTCAGGGCAAGCACTGGCAACGCGAGAACATCTTGGACATGACTGAAGTATCCCGTTGAGCGGCGCAAGTGTTGGGAATGCTTGCAGTGGCAGTGTCTCCAGTGTCTGAATCTGAATGCATCCCAACCACTCGAGCACTCACTTGCGCCCAGGTTCGAATCGTAGTGTGCCTTAATCTTGACTTGTCATGACAACTCGTTCAGGACAGCTGCAAGCGCCACTTTTTGCACTGACTTTCAACGCGGTTGCCTGCAGCAATGCGGCCATCTTTGCTTCGGGGCTGCAGCCCGCAAAGTTTGCCCACAAACTTTGATCCGCAGTTTGCAGCCGAGGAATGCTTGCCGGGACGAGCAGCTGAGGCATCAAATATTAATATAGCACCAGATGTTTGGCCGGCCTGCATGGGGGCCCAAATGCGGGTCTCCGTCCTCCGTAGCATGCCCTCTTCAAATTTGACTATGATCTTTGCTCTCTGACTCTGGCCCCTTTGTCCCCAGGAACTGCAAAACTTTCTCTTCAAGCTGTGTGCATTCTGTGCACATCAGCTTGGCGGGTGTCCTGGCTATTCTTGTGTGATAGCTGGTTTGATGCTCGTCTGTAGGCAGGGCACAGTGTGCTTTGGGACACCCGAGGTTCTTGTGCCCGTGCCAACTCACTGCGCATCGCACAGCTAATTACCTGGAAAAGGGAAGGACTCCGCGCCAGCCAAAAGCCAAGACAACACGGCCTCCGCTGCTTAGCCAGTCAACTCCACCAGAGGCTGTATGGGAAGCACTTGTGGAGGCCTGAGTCTACAAACCGTGTGAAAGACGCGTGGAATCCTGCTCCCTCTCTCTCTCTCTCACTCACTCTCTCTCTCTCTCCCGTTGCGTCCAGAGCTCTCAAGGCAACGAAAAAAAGGGCCCACTGACATTCAGAGGCCCCCAAGACATACAAAGACAGCACGGGCAGGACTTGCGAATTCCCTTGGACAGACTTGCTGAGGCCTGGACAGTTTCTCGCCCCTCAGCAGGCGTATGGCCGCCTTGGCCTGCTCCATGGTCAGCCTGGAGCTGGAAGCGGGTCGAAAAGCTGGAGGAAAGAAAGGAGAGAAAGGGGACCGAGGAAGGTTAGTGGCGACTGCCGATGCTCGGCTTTGCCCCGTAGAGCAATGTGCTCAGTGTGCGGCCCAATCTTGCGATGCGTCTGCACCTCTTGGCCGGAACAGGCGGCGCAGGAAGGATTTACAACCTAACCATCTTGTTTTGCTACCATCGGAAAAGTCTGACAGATCCTCAAGCCCTCCCTTGCGAGGACCCCGACACCCCCTTATTTGGAAAGGGCTTGTTGTATTGCCACGACTGGCTGCGGCACGATGCGTGGAGCCATGAGCAAAGTACCGGGTTTCCTGTCCTGGCAAGACACTGCGGAACGAACACTGATGTCAGTTCGATCCAGCATGTCAACCCGTCTAAGTTGTTTCCTGGGGACAGCCCTTTTTGAAAGCCAAACCTGACACTTCGAATCTGTCAGCACTCAAGGAGATCCGCCCTGGATCCCTCTCCAGGTCTGCATCAGCCATGTTAATGTCATCTATGACGACCTCATGGTAATGGCAAGCAACCAGGAGGGTTGCTAAGATTCACACTGGGCTGCAGGCCCATTGCTTGACTTGCGGGTTGGTATCTCGGCCCCACAATTGCCGCGCAGTCCATGAGCAAATGAATCCCGAGGACCGAGCTCAACCATTGACTGATCTCTCGAGCACGCCTCTCAGTGAACGCCTGGCACGGATGCTTCAGCGTGTCAAGCATTGCAAGAAGGAAAGCAATTCCTACAAGAAAAGCTCTCAACACACATCAAATACATCAGCACTGCTAGTTGATTGGCAAGTCACGGCACCTTTCTCCTTTTCACGCAAGCAACGTGTAGCCCTCTGGATGGCCACATGGGCGTGTAACCGTGCGGGCACCCACTGCGACAAGCACCACCAAGCCGCAAAGAAAGCAAAGGCCGAGGAGGTACAGGTACAAATCTGGCGCAGTCTCAAGTGACTCAAGTGCCAAGGTGGGCACCGGCATTCGCCGCCACTCGGAGCTGGGCGACACGAACTCTTTCACCATGGCCAGGGCAACTTGCGGCTGATCTTTGGGGACCAGATGCCCAGAGTTGAAAATCTGAAGGAATGTCAACCCGGCAGCAGAGCGCACCCTTCCACCAGACCGCCCGCCAACCTGGAAATCCTGGTCTTCCTGGCCCCAATAGCGCTGAGCCCAAGGCAATCTCTGCATCCAACTCTTGGTCCCAAGCCAGTCAACCATAAGGTCCGTGTCCTGAGCTCGCGAAGCCTTCCCCTCCCACCTTGTGCTGCGGTGCTGAGGAAGTCAAAGGGCACTGGTTGTATTTGTTGCTGATTGGGAGCATTGTCCAAGTCTTGCTGCGACTCACTGATTGCTTCAACTGAGGGCGGCTCCCCGGAATAAGCCAGCACCGCCACATTACGCTGCAGGAGCTTTTCCACCAACCCATCGGTGGTGACCAAGAAGTCCCCACTCTCAACGAAGCTCAAGTCTACACGAACATTACACATCTTCCACCTCGTCTTGTCAGGTACACCGAGCGACTGCTTCACCTCGCGCTCCGAAACTTCGAAGGGAAACGACGGAACTTTGGAAAGGCCTCTGCATCATTCAGAAACGCCGACTCCGCGGACCAGTCGTAGCACTCCACGGGATTCGCTTTGTCACAGGCCTCGGATGTCGCGACGCCGGCGACTTGTGGCTGCAACACCTTCGAAAGGCCAAGATGCCTGGCGAATGTCATATACATTGCGTCCAGACTGCATTGCAGGCAAGGTCTCCTCAAAAAACAACTGCGAATATGTCAAGCCCGCAGATACGACTGAATTCTTGGCAGACACTCCTTTGCGGTGCAGGCATTGTAGGCGATAATGCAGGCCACATCATTCCAGCCCCGCATTCTCTGGCAGTCCACGACTGATCGGATGCACGCTGGCAGGGCTGCAACCATGGCAGAGAAGACCTCTAGTTGTAACCGCGACTTGGCCGGAAAGACACGACACGAGCTGCCAAAGGGCCGACTCGTTCACCGCTCCGTGGACGGATCCTCCGTCTTTAAAGCCACCAGTGAAGGCCATCCATGGCTTGGAAGCATACTGCCTTGGCTTCCAATTGGTGCCGTGAGTGAAATGTAGACAATCAAGTCCGCCACTCCTAACAGCTCCTCGTCTGCTTCTTCGTTCTTCGTTCGTCGTTCTTCCTTTTTCTGCTTCTTCTTCTTCTTCTTCACCTGCTTAGCTACATGTGCTGCCCCACAGCGTTTAGGCAAAACCGCAGACCCCAGACATGGGGCCTCTGCAAGTCCCCCTTTGCCAAGATTCGGGATGGGGCTCACCCACGCATTTCCCAGCGCAATGCCTTGCACTGGAGCTACACGGGCACCATCATCCAACGCCATGAGGAGCGCTGTCGCAACAGCAGGGATATAGTGCCCTGACGGGATGCGACAACACGACACCCAACTGGGTGATGAGCCCCGACCAGCCTGCAAAGGACTCTCCCATGATGAACCTGATCAAAAGCCAAACTCTTCAAAGACCAGAGCCACATTCCAAGCATGCTCCCCGTGGACCTGCATGCCCGAAGTCGAGGAGCAAAGGTACATCCAGAAGAAGCGGGTACCGAGCATAGAATCCCTCCATGAAAGAACGCATTCTCAGTCCCACCGCTTTTTCATCGTGCACCGGATCTCCAAGGGAGAAGCCGACCTTGGACAGTTGGCACCTGGTGCTTGCTCCCTCCACTCTGCGAATGACTCCGGTAATGAAGTGTAAAATCACCAGGCCTGGGCGGGCTGGTCTACCCAAAGGACGGACGCAGCTTCTGTCCAGCTCCACGGGTTCCTGTCCATCTGCCAGGGCTTTCTTCCCTTTGCCTGGGCACATCTGCACAGGGTCCACGCGGCACGCAAGAAACGCATGATTTGATTAGCCCGGAAACCTGCTCGCCTTGTGCAGTCTGCAAGGCCCATTTTCAGAAAGCATGGCCAGGATGGAGGAGCAACCAGGCCCTCCTGTCATCCTTCAAGGGGACGCACTGGCTGCAAACAGACAGATAGGAATCAAGACAACGGCCTCCACTGCAATTTCGCGCCAAGGCACCACAATATTAGTGGTTGGGAAGCGTTATGGCGTGAACCCACCAGCCAGTAGAAATAATGAGCATCGGGACCTGCTGGCAAGTAGCCGCTTCGGGATAAACCATCGTCACCTTAGCTGAAACTGCCCAATCGCATCAAAACTGTTTCTATTTGAGACCGGGTGATCAATGCAACGCCGTAAGCTGGACTGGGCAAGCTGCCGCTGCGAACGAGTTGCAAAAGGTGGCTGAGCCCTGCTTGAAGTCAAGCCCTTGAGCTGAATGACACCACAGAAAGGTCAATGCTGTGGCAGCTAGGGGCATGCCCTGGCATTGCATTGCAAGAGTAAACAACCTGACTACTGTGAACTTGCTGTTGATCTTCACCTTCGTCTATTCCAGTTGCTTTGCACGTGCAAAAGCTGTGCTACTTTGACATGTTGCAGGCTTGGTGCCCCAGGCGTTCACTGCACATCAACCAACCAACCTCTGATCCAGTAGCATGCGCCGGGCAAAGCAAAGCTCTCAAGACGCGAAGCTGCAATGAAAGCACGGGAATTCAAACTCTGCGGCATGCGGCAAGCCTTGAAAGGGTTCTCCGTGCCCATGTCCCTTTGCAAGTCGGTTGGGGTCCAGGTGGCACCTTGCACACACCATCAGAGCAACCACATCTTGCACCGCAGTGCACTCTCTGAAGGGTAAGCTTGAGACACGGCCGCATCTCATACTCTGCCAGGATGGCATCAACACCGTCCCCTGTCCGGCAGGTAGCCAACAGAGAAGCGCAACCGGCCATACTTATCTCAGGGTCCGGCGCATCGGCTGGTCACGCCGCCATTCTGACGACAGCACCTACCGCATTCCGTCTGTTCGCACATGCAGCGTTTACTTGCCCATGCGCCATGCACAAGACAGAACAGCGCAAGTGCGGATGGGGCACAATGATGGCCCCGGTGGTCTCAACAATATGCCGAAGAGCCAGCCTGAATGTGAAAAGGAGTTCATGGGAGCACACCAATGATTGCTGGGACGCAGGCAGTGCTCCGGAAATGAAGTCTGCTGTTTCAGCGCGAAGCGCCCACTCACCGTCCACCTACATTGCTTGAAACATACGCAGTGCATGAAATGACGTCAGGCTGCGACCATCATGGAGCGAAAGCCACCGGCTGTGAGTGGCCGAAGCCTCAGCCAAACCGCGCAAGAAAGGGTCGGAGAAAAAAGAAAAGACGAAGAAGAAAAAACGGGGGACGAATGGGTCGCTGACACTCCATCAACATCCAGGAAAATCACCTTGGATGGCTCTTCCGCCTCGGCATCGCACAAGCTAAGTTGCAGAGTTGCACGCGGAAGTTAAGCATTGAGGCCGAGGCCGGCAAAGGTGGGAAACGATGTTGTTTCCAGGTATCCCTCCTAACGTCCCAGAAAAGTCCAACAACCATGATGACACGTCGCACCTCCCGAGCCAAGTGCGAAACTTGGAGGAATCTTTGCCAGTTGTGCTTGGCTGAGATCAGGGCTCTTTGACCTTCACTGCCAACTGCTCGTCCTGCGATTCAACGCTGCACTGGGGCTGTGGATGCAACCTTGCTTGTGATGACTGACTGCATGAATATGGATGGTCCTTCTTTGGATCAGGCGGCGGCAAGCCGCCGTAAAGACTTTCCAAGATGTCATCTGCCCCCTCACGAGGCTGAACTCGAAAGCATTCAGGCTCTGAGTGCTGAAAGCCTTAGCTTTCTTTGTCACGGCAGCAGCCGCAGCCTCTTCTTTCAATCTTTTGGCCTCCTGGTGTCGGCACAAAGTAGCCGATCAGCTCGCAGTGATGCTGCCGACTCGTGCTTGACGCTCTGCCGCCTCCAGTTTCCTCTTTTTCCGGGCTTCCTCCACGCCCGCCTTGACGCGCTCTGCTCGCTCCTGCCGCAGGGCCAGTGGTTCAGGGGTCCAGGAGCTCTCAGGCCAGCCCGTGAAATGGCCCGGAAGCACTTTGATTTGTTTGACAAGTCCTTGGCAGCCCGCTCCCTTTCCGCCTTAATCAGGCCATCAACTCACGAGATGAACAGTGACTTCCTAGTTGTATGAACTAAGATTTGCACGGCACTGGCAGCAGTGCGTTCTTTCAATGCCGACATTGGGTCTTTGGCCTTAGCAATGGCAAAACAAATTACTTGTTGGCATCCCACAGCTGTCGTACGATCTCGCAGTTGCTACCAAACTCAGATCATGCTGCTGACAGGCAGGCAAAGGCTTTTGGTCGTCATATTGAGAAACGCCATGTCCAGCGATCAGAACGGCTTTCTTGCCAGCTGGCGCCGAGCACATGACTTGCAGCCAATCGCTACAGTTCCGACCAACTTCTTCGGGAGCAATCAAACAAAGAGTGGCCTTGGGAAACTGCTTGGCCATGCACCGGGCAACCTGAGTGGCTGCCTCCACCTGATAATCGAGACTTTTGCCCCATGGCAAGTTTGAAGCAATAACCAGCCCTTCCCCATCGAGGATTCCGGGCACTCCGGGCACTGGCCAGGGGCGAGTGGCATCCCACTGCCGAACACCAATGCCTGGTGAAGGTCCACTCGAGGCCCCCTCGAGCAGCTCGTACGCTTGGCCAGGGAAAGCTGTGCCCAGATTGACTTTCGCTCTCGAGGACATGGTCGCATTGATGTCTCCAGCAAAGATCGGCCAGGAAGACAAACAGTACTTGGCCGCGGCTGCCACAGTCCCCGTGCCACAGGTAACATCTAGAAATGCTAGAGGCTCTTTCCCAACACGACGGTGGTGCAAGCGCAAAGCAATGCCAAGCATGGCCAGGGCAGCCAGAGGCTCCAATGCTGCACTGTAGTCAGGAAAAGGCCTGAGCCTCCACCTACAAGAAAAGTCACTGGGATTGAAGCTGCGCTGCTTTGTCGCAGATGCATCGCGTGCCAAAATGTGCAATCCCTCCAATCCAATCATCTCAACTGTAACCAAACGGGCTACTTCACTTGCTTCTGTTGCTTCAGGCACTAGTGGCCCTGAAATCAATCGCCCCAGGGCAGCAGCCAAGTAGGAGGACGACTGCGCATAAGGCGCGAGCGACTCATACCGAACCTGATATGGGCCCTCGTGTTCCAAGCTCCACCCCTGAGGAAAATTCAGCTGTGCAGCCGACACCGCCTCGACCAGCTCTTCTCGAGGCTTCGGAAGAGTCAGCAGCTCAAGGAACCGCCGCAAGCCGGCCACATGCCACGCACATCTGTGGTCAAAGGTGCCCTCTGGCAAAACCGTCTTTGAGGCAGGTGGGAGACTACTCACAGCATCGGGCTCCGGAGGGAGCGACCCCCGCGCTCTGAACAGCCCCGGCGCCACCTGCTCCAGCACTGCTCTCTCCGCTTTCTCCTTGCCGTCTTTGCCGTCTTTGGAGTCTTTGCCGTTGCTCTCTCCAGGTCGTTCCCAGGCCTCCTCCAGGTCCAGGGCCAGGACGCGCTCCCAGCGGTCGCTGGCACAAACCACCAGCAGCGGCTCCCAGGCGCTGGTCACTGCCGCCGCTCGCATCGCCTCCCGCCGGGCCGCGGTCTCTGCTGCCGCCGCCGCCAGCACCGCCTCGGGGACCCGCTGGCGTTTCCCCGCCTTGGGCCGCACGCAGAACTTGGGCAAAAAGGCCACGAGGCACTGCAAAGCCACGCCGCCCAGGTCGCACAAACGAAACTTCCCCAGCCGCTCCAGCTGCAAGATGCCTGTCAGATTTGACATGGATGCAACTTGAAATCTTTGCATGAACCGCTGCACCAAAATGCCTGCATCTCCTGAAGCTCCACTGCTAGAGCTTGGATATCCTGTTTCCTCGGATTCCGACTGGCTCGGTTGGCGCACTCCCGGGAGCTGTGCAGGGACCACGTGAAAGTGACTAAGCGACATGCCACAGTCAAAACTTCCTATGAGCAACCATACAAACACCACACACGCACACACGCACACACACGCACACACACACACACACACACACACACACACACACACACACACACACACACACACACACACACACACGCACCCAAGCACGCACGAACGCATGCACGCACGTATGCTCCGAACATGTGCTCTGCCTAGGGGCTGGAAGCAACTTGCGCAGCCACGGCTCGCATAGCACGAAGCTCCGACATTCCAATGCCTTCACAGTGCCCGCATGCGCCAGTCTGAGGATATTTGGAATTCAAAGCCCCAGTAACGCAGTCACAATCGCATCCAAGCATCCAAATCTGACAACTGCGGAGGCCAGTATGCACCGGCAAAGTTGGCAGGGCCTTCTGCCAGTGGAACCTGTCAGCAAATCGAAGCATGGCGACAAGTACATTAAACAGCAACAACCATGTGCATGGGTTGCTTGCTGCCGGCCTGCACATGCATCGACTCACAGGCATGAACCCAGGACCTGGGAAATGTTGTGCTTCATGGCCGATTGCCAAAGAAGCAAAGCAAAGAGATCCTTCTGACACAAACTGAGAGATCCTTCTGACACAAACTGAAACTAGCTAGCGTAGAATGCACCTACATCAATCAAACGGGTTCTTCCTGCTTGTGTCTCACTGCGCTTCAAAAGAACCATAGTAGAACGATGATTGTCCGTTACAAAGCTACCAGTCCCGTCTAACCACCCAAGCGATGTCACACATGTCAGACGAGCAACACCACTTTGGGACCCTGCTTGCCAAAACCATCAAGAGCTGTTGGCTTGCCCAGGCTGTTGTAGTCGCAGCGGGCTAGTATCTCAATCACCTCGGTGGGCTCAGCTGGCAAAGCCAGCCACGCAACCGTGCAACCACCTCATCACCCATACACTGCAATGTGCCAAGCAAGCTGCATGTCCTGCATCGTTTCGCTTGAAGCTCTCGCATGCTACAACATAAGAGTGGCGAAGTCTCACGGCCGCGCCCAACCTCAAATCGAGCGACCGTGCGCCAAGCTCACTCATCCCGGAACAACACAAGAGCCAAAAACAATGATGTGAGAACAAGAGTTGTTGAAGAGTTGTTGAAATCAAGGCTGGACTGGCTGCCAAAGAAGCTGCAGCGAAGTCTCGTCCTCGGTTTTTCTCTAGTTCCAGTCCGTCGCGAATCTGGTGCCATCTCCCCCTTCCATGAAACAGAGAATGACCCAGCGCACGCCCACATATGCACAAAGCAAACAAACGGCAGAATCTCGCCCAGAAACCGGAAGCGCAAAAAAGTCCCTGCTTTCCACCAACACTTTTCTTCCTTGGCTGCATGTGATATGCTCGAAACGCACGACAAGCTGCAACTTGATGTATGCCGAGTGCTGCCTCACCCTCTGAGCGAAGTGGCCCCATGGAATCTTCCGCGGCGGTAGTGGTGAAAGAAATGGTCCGTCAAGCCATTGCACCTGCCACGTCTGCAGGCAAGCCATGAAGGATTTTGGCAGAGTCGGAAGTACGCTGTTTGATACTGCCCACGCAAAATCCGCTGCCACCTCATCCCCCTGCCAGTTGACAATGCTCAGCTCCCTGCGGAACGGTTGTCGGCCGTACACCGGCACATACATGCAGGTTTGCAAGTTTCCGTTGCAAATAGCAAAAGAAATCTGCAACCCAGCGGCACAGGCCAATAAACACCCAGAAGGTTTGGCACTGCATCAGGCGAATCCATGCTTGTATCGGGCACGGATGCTGTCAGCAGGAATGGTGTTGACCGGTTGTAGTCTGATACACTAGGCCATGACTCGGCAACTCAAAAGGAAACTGCCGGCGAATCAAAAGAGCGAGCCTCTCTGCGAAAAAGAATGCGGGCAGCTGCAAGCTCGTTGCCAACCCCCGAATGCAAGCAGTGCTGACCCTCACTGCCAACAAATAGAGTTGTAAGGATCAGGCACCAGCTTTGCCTGGACGAAGACCGACATTTTCAAGTGGGAACAAATGTGTTGCCGTCATCCTGCCTGGGCTGATGCTGCCCTCATCATTGTCCTTAGCCATGCTACCTGCGCAGCGCAATTAAAGGCGCGTGACCACCATGGGCTGACGTGGCAAGCGTGCCTGAAGCAGCCAACAGCCACGACTATGACTATATCAAAACACGTGTTGGTGTATGTGTGTATTGCTGATGGGTGGTCGCGTTTGCAAAATGCAAACAACGTGCAACGAGCTTGACACTGATTCGAAGAAGTTGCTTTAAAACTGTGTGCCAAAAACCAAAATGCTGCGAGCCACAACGTGACATGTCAAAGCTAGCCCACCATGTGTTGCTTCCTGCGCAGGCTGCTTCCCGGACAGCCCACAGCATGCATGAACTATAGGTTCGTGAAGCGAAGAAAAATACAAACCAGGTTCTGACGCAGCAACATGTGCACGCATGGCTGCACATTCTGGCGTCCTGGAAAACATTTCTCAACCTCAACGATTGCGCGGCGGCAAACCGCGCTCTGCACCAAAGCAGCGCAGAACATACTGAACACACTTGCGTGCCACGACGATCAGTGGCTGCTGTGGCCATGCCAGCACTGCCATGTCGGAATGCCAGCGCTAAACAAGAGCAACACCAAGACGACGTCACAACGCTATTCCCCCAGTCACCACTGCGCACGACAAATATTGGTGGCATGTTGCCAGCCAAGTCAAAAATCGTCTGCGCTACCAAACATCTGATGACAAACTTGAGGGGCCGACAGCGTCCCAACTATGTGGCGTCATCAGGGGTAGGCTAGGGGGTGTTTGCTCGCGCCAGACTGGCACTCACTCGCACTCTTTCTCATCATGTCACATGATTCACAACAGTCAATGTTTACTTCTCGTGTCTTGTGGGGTTCTAGAGTTCTGCTCCTGAGCGGGCACTCATATCATTTGACAGGCATGCTTGCAGTGCTGGGTGTGAAGTCTTGAGCGGGTGTGCATGTCTTTTGGCAAGCATGTGCAGTGCTAAAAGCCTGCCCTTGAGCGGGTGTGATACATCACTGTGTGCAGCGCAGAGCTTATCATTTGCAGGCGTGTGCACAGAGCTGAGCATGTGCTCTTGAGCGCGTGCCCCACTGGTTTCAGCAAAAAGCTCAAAAACATGAAAGCACATTGCGGGTCAGCGCCAATCTGTAATGTGCCTCCGCAATGTGCCTTCTTGTTCTCCCAACGTGCCTGTTTCCGCCAACCGGGACACAAACAGGCCTGTCGCGATGAGGCTGGAAAACCTTGTGTTTCCCGACCTCGGCCCTCGGCAGCGTGATAGACGGCCGGAAGCCACGCACTCCAAGCGGGGAGAGGTGCCGCTCAGCGGGCTCGTCCGGCATTTCCTCCCTCGCTCCTTGCAGTCAGGCAAGGTTTCCCCCCGACAAGGCTGGGGGCCAGCTAGAGCGCTGCCACGCCACGCACACTACTCGGGGGCGACGGCAAGCAAGTCAGGCTCTCAGCAACTAAGCAAGCCAGACCAGCGATGCACATATACATACACACGCTGCGCAAAGCAGGCTGCCGCACCGTACGGGCTTTGGCCTGGCCGAGAAGGCGCAGAAAGTTTGTTTTCTCCGTGCTCCAGCGGCCCCCTAGGACCCCTACCTCAAGCACCACAAGGCGGCAACGGGCATTGCCCACAAGTTCCTTGCTGCGCCGCTGCAAAGCAATCAGGCTGGCGGGGGATTGCGAGGAGTGGGCCGCGTCGTTGGGCGTAAGCAGCGACACAATGGTCGTGTCGACCAATGACTCAAGCGACCGCCACAGTCATCGGTTCTTCAGGTGCTCGATGGTCGCCAGGTCGAGGCACCAGCAGCTGCGCATGGACAGTGGCAAAGGGAGGCACAACGCGCAACAAAAGGGCTCGCAAGGGCTGGCTGTTCAAAAGGCCCAGTCTGGGACAACAGGAGAAATTGGGAAGCAACATCAAGCTTTGCCAACAAGGCCGCTTGAAGCTGCTTCGCAACGGCAGTGGCAACGCCCCGCCCCGCGCGCTTGGCTCGGGCAAGTGCTCAAACAGCTCCAGGGGATGCAACACAGCCAGCAAGCCCTCTAGGCCCAGGTGGCTTCCGCCCTGACGCGTTTCACACTCGAGCCTTGGCGGAGCTGGATACGCACAGCACGGCGCAAGTGACGGACGGGACTGCAGGTCAAACACAGCACGGGCACGCGCTGCGAACCACGCGCTGGGAACTTGATGCCGTAAATGTCATCAAGGTAAGCCAACAAGATCTCGTCCGGTTGGAGATGGCGCGCCGCGCCTTGGCGGGCAGCATGCTGGACCGTCGAACAACGCTTGCAACATGGCTTGGGCAGGCACCTATCAGGAATCGTGCTGCCAAGGTTTGCGCCAAAGAGTGGGCACCCAAGCGCCGCAAGAAAGCGCTAACCATCCCCCGAACTCGCCCGGGCAACCAGCCGCCCGCGACCACAATAGCTGCTGCGATGTGGGGCGAAACTCGCACCGTTTGACAGAACCATCAGGCCCCTTGTGTGTCCGCTATCTTGTCACCCCCCCCTCCCCTCCTAATTAAGGCGCAACCTCGAGCAAAGCCTCTTCGAGGCCAGCCTTCGGGAAAATACATCCAAACGTAATATTTTGATGTAGGAAGTGAAAATGAGGTGGCTCAATGCTTCAGACGCTTTCTGTAACTCAGTCTCCCGCAAAACAAAACTAGAAAAGCTATGTGGACCCAAGCTGCAGCATGCAGCGCGTCGAAAACAGCAATCACACCTTCGTGATGCTGGGCCCTCTGCAAGCACCGGCCAACTTTTCCCCGCGGTGAGGCTCTGCCAAACGCTGCTGCGCCTGTCTCATCGCTTTGCAGGGCAGCCAGGCCTCGAGCTTAATCACTGCAATGCAAAAGGTGAAACCAAATGACACAAACCGTTTCTTCATGTGTTCCATGCCTTCACTGAAACACTCACACGCATTTCCACGCCCTTACCCGCACTGAACATCGGGACTGTGCTTCTAAACCGTCTGAGGGTCCCGCCGATGCCTCAACATCCAGCGCCAGGTAAGGTTGACGCAGGCACGGCAAGCGTCCTGTTTTCTGCCTACATTACCACGTGCACCAATGAACACTGCAAACGCAATGTCCTGTGGCACTAGGCTATAGTGCTTTTGCACCTCAGCACCAAGGCAATGAAAGTGCAGAAAGCGAATGTAGCTAAGCTCCTAAGACTGCTGGCCATGCCCTCCAGCGTCACGAGGTCACCATCACCTCAGGCCCCGGACTCCCAACACTGGCACCTCGCGCCGTGGACTTCTCACCGCGCATCCTACGCGCGCGGCTCCGGCAAAGCTCTCTACTCAAAGCCGCAAACTTCTAGGTGGCGGGCACAACTGAATCTGCGTTGCCTCCTCCCCCTGTTCAGGCCAGTTTGCCCGCAGCCTCAAGCAACATAGATGCCTCACGTCCCAAGGTGTCTCGATGACCCTATTCTCGAGGAGGGCGCTCAAGCTGCTGCGCAACGCCCAAGTTGAGTGTCATGGAAATGGCACACACGTCTTTTTCGCTGCCTGCGGCTGAAAAGGCCCCACCCCGTTTGCGACACAGCCTTTCCCCAGAAATCAGGGTGCATTCCCACGCACGTCGAGCCTTGAAAAAGGACATCGTCATCCTGCCAGCCTCTCTTTGCTGAAGCGCCCGCTACATTTGTTCGTTGCTCGGAAAAAGTTGCTTAGCCAGGCACCTGGAAACATTATGCCATCAGGATGGTAGCTGACATGGCACCTCGCATTGGTGGAGAATGGGGCTTGCGAACATCCAACGCACCTGCCATCCACACACACGCGGCCCAGCGCCCAAGCTGGCATGCCAGGACCCCAGCGCACATGGCCAGTGGTCTTTGCTGACCCCACCTCAGTCCATGTCTGTCTTGCCCCCTCCCCTCCCCTTGACCCTCCCTTCCCCCCGACCTCCCCTCGACCCTCCTCCCTTCCCCTCCTCCTCCCCTCTCAAATCACCCCTCGCCTCGCTCCTCACCCCTCCCCTCCGCTCGCCTCTCTCCTCCCCTCCCCTCGGTGGGCGCAACCCAAACTGCGAGGCCCGCGCAGCGCGGCATCACCAGCTCCAGCAGCTGAATCTGGGATCGGCATTTGTTTGTGGGGCATCCGTGTGACCTGAGGCCGCCGCCATCCAGTTGGGATACTCCTTGCCCAGAGGAGAGGGAAAAAAGGGGGAGCGATGGGAAAGGTCGCCCGACCAAGCGTTGCAGCAAATATTCTCTTCACGGCCTGCGGCTCCAAGCGGACCTTCTCGCACGTGAAGAAGCCTCAAGCCATGCCCACAAAGGGGAGTCGGAAGGAAACTTTGAGCTGGATGAAGCTTTTCGGATCTCGTTTCGGATTTCGGTTGCTGAGCTGGCTGCAGCTGCAGCGCCTTTTCCTGGCCGGGCAGGCCACAAGGCTTTGGAAACAGGCTGGTAAAAAAAGAAAAGAAAAACAACTGGTATTTTTTCTGCTTTTCTTGCTGTTTGCTGCTCAGCTGTGATGCGTCGAGTTGCAGTTGTGAGCAGGGCTGGAGGAGGGGGAGGAGGGGGGAGGGGGGTGGGGGAGGGGTGTGTGGGGGAGGGGGGTGTGGGGGAGGGGGGTGCGGGGGAGGGGGGTGTGGGGGAGGGGGGTGTGGGGAAGGGGGGTGTGGGGGAGGGGGGGGGGGGGAGGGGGGTGCTTTCATGTTACCGTCGGTATGAAAGGCTTGCACGCACACGAACGCATGAGTGCACACAGGTTGATGCATGGCCAATGTTGGTTGCAAATGCAGGCAAAAAGTATCTGGAGAGCCACCATGTCCATCCCAGCAAACATGAATTTGCTAGACGAGTCTCTGTGACACGGGAAGCACGCAAACGACCCGCCTGCTTCACAGTGGGGACTCAATGTATAGACAAACGGTATCATTGCAAAACGATATACCAAGTCAGCTGCACTCTCATGTGTTTCGCTACATGCATCGCTTCTTTTTAAGTATCAGCTTCGACAAGGATTTCTGCCATGCGTTGGCTGCAGTTTGTTGATTCAGATTTTCGAGCAATTGAGCTGCAACAATGCAAGAAGAAAATAACATTGGGATTCCGACTTTTCTGCATAAAAACACTGCTGTCCTAATTCTCCGGCTCGCCAAGCATGAGCCAGAGATGGCAAATTGCAAAAAAGCCAGGGGAAAACACGGTGTGACACAGCTTTCGCCTCCAGGTTTTTCAACCGCCTGTGACCAAGGCTTTGGGAACTGAAGCCAGAGACATGACGGCGGACAAATATTTGGAAAACGCCTCGCGCCTCGCCTTACCAGCCAGGCCGACTCGCGCTGGCCTACGCAGGGCAGGGATTTGAGGCCTGACTCTTCTCGCTCTTTGCGCCCTGCGCAGAGGTCTATCCCTGGCCCCACCGTGCTGGCTCCAGGCGGTTCGGCTGCGGATAGTGCGGAAGAAGTCCTGCCAAAGGCTCGTCTCACCACTTGTCCCACCCCGCCATCGCGCCTCCCGTGTTCGGACATCCAATGAGGACGGCAGGTAGCCAACATAGGAGCGGCGCCGGTCATCCTCTCAGGAGAACATTTCCTTCCACCAGTTTGGCCAATTTACACCCACGATATGACTCAAGCAACACGGGGCGCGCATTGCTTCATGCGGGCAACAAACTCGCACGGCCTGCAGTAAGTAGAGCAACTTTTCTGACGCCACCTGCTCCCCGAGAAGGCTGAGACCGATGGCTTGACGCGGTTTCTCCCACTGATCACCTGCAACAAAGCACCCGCCAAATGAACGCCGCATGCGGCTCAGACCTCCCAGCTTTGCTGGCGCCACCACTGGGCCTGGGCGCTTCAACAGGCTGTGTCTGTATAGGCTATCGGCTTCTGCGGGCCTGGCCTGCAGTCTGCCCCCTGGCATTGCAAACGTTAAAACCGTTAAGTTGCCAGGCAAACGCTGCCGCAAACGGAACATCACGCAACTCGGTCCTTTTAGCGGGCCTGCAAAGCATCGCTCTCCACTGAATCGGAGAGAAAAACTGCTCGGACTTCTCCAGCTCAGGCTTTTGCCTCAGACACCAAGCTGCGCGCCACAAGTTTGATTGAGGCATCATAAAACGCCGAAAATCAGGACAAAGAACACCGTATTGAGAACAAGCCCAAGCACTCCCCTATGCCGCACACAAGATCACACGAGGTTGCTTTCCCACTGCACACAATAGTTTCTGTCCCCTCCTGAAGGCTGAAGGTGTTGGCGGTTCAGGAGCTCAGTCAGGCTGAGGTAGGGGTTGCATAGCATGTTTGCGTCAAGGCGGGATTTGAACCTTCAGACCCTGTTTTGGCCGGCTTGGCTGGTTGGACTTGGATGTGAAGCGCTGCCCCAATCCACCAAACCCACCGCTTGCTAGAAGCCAAGAATTATGCCCAAGGGCACGCAGGCGATTGTGGCATCACGACAACATCAGGCAAACTCGTGATTACGCTAGCATCATAGTGAGGCTAGCGGCAACAATTTTGCCCTTGCCCGCAGTCCAACCCGCCCCCCTCTGCGACGGGGAAACTGAAAAAGCTTGCACAATATGTGAACGCGAAATCCGGGGGCGCGCAGCAAAGCTGTCTGTCTCGCGCGGCTCAATGCCTTAATCCGAACTGACCCTTGTTCCCAAGTGCGCATTGGCGCACTAAGCGCTACTGGGTGGACACGCGATTCCGCTGGAATCCCTTGTTTCCGCCGTCGCCCTGTTGGTGCCAAAGTGCCAACTATCCGTCAATGCTCTTTACATTGTCAAAAGCCAATTACTCGGTGGCCACGCGCGCCCGACTGCGCTTGATTGCCCGCGACTATTAGATTGGCTCAGACGCTCGCGCGTGTATTGTTGCGACCGCTATCAACTGCGACATTCTTGTTGTGAGCAAACCTTCCTGCAGCAATTTGTGGTAGTCTGCTCCTGCCTTATAGATCCACGAAAATGTGTGACCGGCAGATTCGAAAGCTTTTTCCGCAAAGTTACCAAACTTCAGTTGTTCTTTCTTTTTTTCCTTGCAGCTCTTGGGATCGATGCTCCGCCAAGTCTTGGGTGAAATGTAAGCGGTAGACGAAAACATGGGAGTTCATGGCTTCCGGACAGCCAAGCAGTCTGTCCAAAATCTGGCACACAAACAAAAGCACCTGAGTGTCCCTGCTCCTTCGTCTGCAGATTCGCTGTCTTTTCAGATCTTGCCTCGGGATGGGAAACGCAAGGATCATCTTCAACTCAAGGCACTGATAAGCGCCAGGCCAGCAAGCTCTCGTCACGGCCACACCTGCGTCCGAAGGCGGCGAATCTCAGCACCCAAACAGCGCCTAGTCTTGCCAAGCCACGGTTCCTGTAGAGACGGCTTTGGCCCCTGGGCCAAGGCAATCCAAAATGCGGAAGAAACAGCAAGCGGCACAACCTCATCCTGCTCTCTGTGTGTGCTCTCGTTGGACCTGCCCACCGAAATTGCCGCACGACCGTGCAGAACATAGGAACACCTGCCTCAATGCTGAGCCAGGATGAAGCTTCCTAGGCAAGCAGCTTGCACACTTCAAGCTTCCCAGCATCAAGCAAGTGCAGTCAAATGGCTCTTGCAAATCTGTTATTTGCTCCTTCAATGCAAGCGGTAGCCGAGGAATTCATGAGCACACACACACACATACAGCGGGCAAATGGATCAAACCAGTCCCATCCTGGATCTGCAGCGCTGCAATGCGTTGCCCCGACTGCTTGCTCATGATATCCATGCCTGAATTCTAGAGGCAGCGCCGCAAGCACCACACAATCTCACAAGCGTGGCAGGGCGCAACCGGCAACTCTCATGCCAGGCCCACGGAAGGTCATCAAAGCAGTTTGGCTGGCACCACCCGTCCTGAGAGCGATTCTTCGGGACTTGTAAAAAACATCTTGGCGCTGCTGTCAAGGCTCATGAGCTGCTGCATTTGCTTCTCTGTTGCCTCTGTCTCTGCAGATATTTGCTCATGGAGCCTTGCGTGAGCAAGCCGATGCCATGTGCCATCATGTGCCCGCATTTGAGTTGCAAACGCGTCTAAGCAAGCACGCTGCCGAGACGCTTCAGGTACTGCGCGCGGAGAACCCGCAGCTTCTCTTCCAACTTGGCCCGGTCGCCATCACTCAGTGCCTCGGCCTGCCAACCAGCTTGACTGCTGCAACGTATCTTTTCCGCAAAAGCAAGCCCACCTGAACCTCGTTTTGCTGAGGTTCCGCTGGCGGCTCTTCCTAACCGTAGCCCCACAAGCCGGGGCTACGAAACAAGCCCAACCTGGGCGGGCAGCTGGCCCTGTTGCCGCCGCCGCTGGAACTCGCGAATGCGCTCCGCCTCACGCAGCACAAACCCTGTTCACATTTGAAACCAAGAATTTGAGGCAATGGCTTCTAGGCAGTGCACAGCTGCCTTGTTTGTTGCTGCAAACTGCTAGCAAAGTTTGATCGGGTGTCACCACGGGCGTTGCTGCCATAAGGGCGACCTCGCAACTACTCCAAGCATCGTCTGCTACGGTGGCCCTGAAAGCGGGCAGCGACAGTTTGGGCAGGCAAAAATGTCCTTTACACTTGTCTTCCCGAGAAGACAGCGGAGCTCACACGTTTTGCATCACCTGACAGCTGTTGGGGTTGCTTCCCTTAAGGTCAACAACGGCTGATCTGGGTTCTCTAATTGTTTGGGTCTCCTTGTTGCAGGTTCCACCTTAATTGCTTTACTTCTAGCCGGTGTGATCTATTTCTTTGCACAACAAACGCATATTATAACTTTTGTGCGCTTTGGCTGCTTTATCACAACCGTTTAATGCAAATGCAACTTGTCATGTTCTTGGGTGGCTCCGACTGAGCTAGCCTCACATGTTGCCACTGCGGCATGTACTACACGAAGTACGCTTTTGGCAGCTCCAGATTGAAATCGCATCTTCTTCAATCCAGACTTGGAGCTGCCAAGCAAGCGGTGTCTTGCTATATGACAAGGCTGCTCATGATCGCTATCGTTTTTGAACCATGCTCCGTCTCGCAAAGAAACGAACAGGTTCGAACTACATGGAAAGCATGGGAGTCTCTACACATTGACGTGATGCTGGGGCCGGCTTTGGAAGGATTCACTTTATATAAGTAAAGGGATGCCCGCTTTCCTCCACCCTGAACAACGTTTGCATTCAAACATTTGTATGTACAAGCATCGGCCCCAAATAGCAAGAAATCAAAGAAGCAACCCGTTACCAAGCAAGAGGTTTTCGAAAATTGAAAAGAAATCAACAGCCTGCTTTGGACAGCGCAGCTTGGTCAGTATTCCAGATATGTTTGGAACACACACGCACTGTGAAGTCACACAAGCGGGTTACACTGCAAACACACACGCCTGCATATGCGCAGAATTGCTATGCGAACACGCAAGGCGAAAACACATGCGCGCACGCTCAGAACACACATGGGCGTCCGCAAAATAGTCATGCGTATACACTGTGTGCACGCTAGGCAACCAGGAGCCCGCACGCACACGCGCACTCACGCACACACCTGCAAACGTGCACGAGACACATGTATACACGCTCGGAACACAGGGGCATACACCGTGATGCACGTATGATATGTATGTGTATGTATATATATATATATACATGTATGTGTATATATATATATATATATTATGTATGTATGTATTGTATGCATCATGTGCTGAACTCAGGCGCCCGAACCCTGTTGCACACAGGCCTGCTCGATCTCTGCAGGGGTTAGCGCCGCCTCCTTGCTCGAGCGCAAGCTTAGCTATTGCTCTCATTTCGTTGATGCAGCGTTCGCACTGCAAAATGCCAGGCCTGGCTGGGACTCTGCGAGTTCTCTGGGTCCGGGCGCTGTTCAGTCTGGGTCTCCGCTTGCTCCTGCGCGAATTGCTTGGGAGTTGCCACACAAGTCTCTACGGCCCCGCCTCACGCCGTAGCTCCTCGCCCGGCAAACAAAGCGACATGACATTGCTACACGCTTTTTGGAAAAAGCCACTCTTTTTTCACTCAACACGGCAAAGGGCGAGCGCCTGTCACGCCTTACGCCATGTAAGACAAAGCTTGCTTTGTGGCTCTGCGCCGTGGCTATTTCCGACGTTAACAGGCGCACGCGGTTCGAAACAAAAGACGGGGACCTCTCCCTCTGGCAATACTTTGAAGCAAGTCCACGGCATTCTGCCGCGCTGGTGGAAAGCACGGCAACCCTCGTGCCGAAGTCACCAAAACGCAGCAAAAAGCAATGATTGAAACTTGAAACGAGTGCTTTGGCTTTCCCCTGATCTCCCTCGCTAACGCCAGTATGCTCACTGACACAAGACCATGAAACCCTTCCAGAACAAAAATAGAAAACTTGCAAGCTCAAGGCCAAAATGGGCGGATCGCTTTTGATTGGCTGAGAGTGAGCCGAGACAGCGCATTAAAATCGCGATCGTCAGCAAGGGAAGCCAGTGCTTTGACACGGACTTCTGCCGCAAGGCAAGGCAGCATATGCGGCATGAATCGGGGCCAGTCCTCTTGGAGCTTCGTGCGGTCGCTGGGATCTCCGTCTGCCCATTCAATGATGACCCGCCCATTTTCGAGGAAAGCCTGGGCGCGCAGGCCTACCGCAAAATGCACGAACTGCCCACCAAAAGTCAGCACAAATACATCACTATATGCGTCACATTGGTTGGGCCCAAAGTCTTACAACCATTGCCTCGCCTCAATCTTCGCCGTGAAGAAGCTACCTGATTGGTACCGAGCCTGCACAATCGCGCAGGCTTGCAAAGCTGTCACGTTCAACGCCACCTTGTGCCTTCACCAGTTGCCCCACAGAAAAGCCATCCCTGTTGTCCAGGTTCAGGCGATTATCCTGCACGCTAAAGGATCATGCACGCATCCGACTCTCTTCTCTCCTGCTGCTGTTCCTTGGCTTCGCTCGTGCCGCTGACTTTCGGCATCTTGGCTCTTCCCTTTCGGGTTGAGACTGTTAGGAGAGACCATTCTTTTAGCCACGCCTGACTATCCGATGGGCCCTCGCTTTTTCTCCGGGCGCGGCTGTCCTGACCGCACGCAGCCCTTACAGTCACGTACGCGCACGCCCAAGCGCTTGGATGGAGCACCCAGCCTGGCGGCGCGGCCTTGGAGATTCCGCGCAGTGCGACGTGCGCCTGCTGACGGAAAATTGCCAAGTCTATAGCTAGTCCCTTGCGAGTCACTTGGCCCTTTGCCGGCTGCTCTTGCAGCTCGCGCAAGCTGCCCTGCCTGCCATTGCGCTCTGCGCGCCCCTGTCCACGGTCCCCGCCACGTCTGCTTCGTCTGCCTGGCGCGGGACACCGTGCTCAAAACTCCATCCTGCGCGGTGAACCTTCATCTCGCAGCCCCTCGGCTCGTGAATCTTTGGAGCGTCCTTGGCACAGGACAATGCATAACAACCTCATCGAACTGCCAACGTCTGCCGCCTTTCAGCTCAGAATCTGGGTCTGCCATCTTGCCGACTCCCCCGTTCGATCCTGCCTCGCCTGAGCAAGTAAAACGCACGCGCGCGCGAAAAAGTGCTCGCACGTCGCACAAACCCACAACACACGCACGCCTGTTGCACAATAACTTTGAGCCAGGCCTGGAGCGCGACCGTTCGCGAACAGACCGCCTGAACGCGGGAGACCTTGGTTTTTGCAACTGGTTGAACTGTCCGGATGTGGCGGGTGTGCGCGGTGTCTGGGGTGTGGTGTGGGGCGTAAGTGGTGTGGCGCGCGGCGTGTCTGCAGGTGCAATGCGCAAACTCGCCAAGTGAAACGTGTGTTGGAAGTCATGCGTAATGTGCAATTCAATGCGTCATGAGTGAGTCATGAGTGTCTGTGTGTCTGTGTGTGTGTGTGTCCGTGTGTGTGTGTGCCTCTGTGTCTGCGCGCGCGCGCGCGTGGTTGTTTGTGTTTGAGGTGTGCGTCTGCGTTTGTGTGCCTCTCCCACAAGAATTGTTCTGGGTGGAAGTATCTTCGCGTGTCTGGCGTTTGCAACAAGGCTCTCCGCGACTCCGCGCCTTTCTGCGCCTTTCTGTTTGTTGGCTAGCGCACCTGCACCTCTTCATCTGCGCGTTTTCGCTGGCTCCGCAAAACCAAATTGAGGCTTGTGTTTGGGAACGCGTCCACAGGTCTGGCCTGACCATACACGGCAGTCAAGCTCAACTGGCTGCAGCAGGCGCTAAGGCTATTTACACTCTCTGTCTTCAACGCTTTCTTCCTAGGCCCCCCTTCTTTCCAGAATTTGTTTGTGGGGACTTCTGGGACAGCATCTAAAGCTACACTTCTTACGTCGGAGCTTGAGGACAAGATATGAAAGGAATACATGCAAAGAATGCCGGGGATGAAGCCTTGCCTTGCTTGCTAAGCATGACGCCTGTCAGAGTCGCGGGTATCTGCTGACATTGGCGTGCGCAATCTAAACGTCACAGCAACGCGTCGCAAAGGCAAAACAAGGAGCTCCTCTCTGCCTGACCGCGCCCGCAGCCTGTCGACTACCACTGCAGCAGTGGCTGGCACATGCTGACTGGCCTGGACGCATAGCGCCGCTCCTGGCGGCCATGGCACGGCTATCCGGCAATGGAAAATTACACGGTCCTGATCTCGGTTGCGTTCTTCGCATCGCTCACGTCGTGTGTCCTCAAGCACCTTGCGCCGCACTCCAACCCGCCCGCATGGACTCCTGTCACGCGCCATCGAAGAGCGACATGGCTGGCCCAATCCCAAAATGGCGGAGAGGGACTTGCATGCCAAATCTGTTACTTGCGTGCAGGTGCGTGTGTGAACGCGCGTGCGTGTCAAATGAATTTGTATTCTCAGGCGTTTACCTGGGGCGTGCAAAGCATGGCTTCCCCACAACTTACGCCAACATACGATGCCGAACTTAAATAGCTGCAATGATGCGATCAAGCACTGAACACTGAATCACGCCACGCCAACACTGCGACGGTCATGTGTTTTATATATGTTCCACGTGAAAAATTGCATTTCCAAAGCACGTGGGAAGCCCCGAATCACTTGTGGAAAATTATAATTCTTCCTAAGACGTATGTGTAACGGCCTTCCCTGACTCTCCAACGCTGGTGCGTTTTTCGACCCACAGGACCAGCAGCCGCAGCAACGGCGTCTCCAAATGCGCAACTTCTGTCGCTGCCAAATGCGCGACTTCTGTCGCTGTCACATGCACATGAGTCCTAGAAAGAATCAAGCATCCATCCGCTTTGTCTGGGCGATATGGCCCAAGCAACACAAGTTGTTTCTGTCACGTTCATGAACTCCTCTATTTCCGCCCACGGTTGGGTTGTATCAGCCTCTGGGTACTTACTCTGAACCACGGTCACGGTGTCACCATCGAATCCGATGCTGTCCACAGCCTTCTCATTCTTTTCGGCAAGGCACACGAGAGATTTGATGAACTTCGACACCCCTTCTGAAGGGATCGCAGGGATGGTCGTAGAAAAAACTATCGGCCGCTCGCATTGCGCCAAGTGCCTTGAACGCCTTCGAACTCCAGCTGTGCTCCTCTTTGCCGGTGGGATGTTTGGGTGGCAGGTGATTGAAATGCTCTGGCCCATCCAACTGCATCAACAGGTTCAAGAAGAATGGGTATGGTACCGTGAGGCGGTAGTAGCTCATCCACTTCAGTGAAGAGTAGACCAAGTTGGAAGAACTCTTTGAAATGCTGTAGTTGGTCTTCATCAAAGATGTCTTGCACAAGCACTGCCCCAACCAGTGTGTTGCATGTTGCTCTGAGCCGCCTACGTCCACCAGACCGCCGTCGCATGAAGTTACGCAACTCCACCAGCAAATGCTGCATGACCTCCACAGACACCCCAGATCACAACAGCCCCGGATTCAAGAATGGCAGAAAAGGCACCATTAGTTGAAAGGATTTGCTGGACATTCCTCAGCTGCTCCTGAACTGGCGGCTCTCTTCGCTGTACTCTGGATCACCCCAGGTCACAACCTCGGGCTCATGGTCGTGCAAAGCAAACGCTTGCGCAGTCGCAAGCCAGTATATATATATATATATATGTACAGACCTCAGGGAAAGAATAGCACACAACGCATGAAAGCGCGCATGCTCACACGCTATCTGCCCTCTCGAAACCAAAGCACGAGGGTGCACATCATGCCCTCCCCCCATCAGTTGAACCCTCTCCTGGAAGGAGGCGCCTGGAAAGAACTTCTTGGAGTCTTGAAAGCTAAAAGGAAAGTTTTTCGTGCCCCAACTGTATCACAGTCGGCTCTGGATTCCATAATACTGCAGTGCGCGTACTGGCCGGCACCACCAATCCCGAAGGGTTTGGCTGACAGTTGCATTCGGGTTCGAGATTTATTTGGGACTTTTGCTTTGTTGTAATGTAGGTGTTCAGTGCTTTGTTTCATCTCAGGCAGTGAAATGCTGCATTTACAGTGTTGTAGCACGAAATGCCCATATTTAACGCTAGCTCGTCAACATCTATCGCGATTTTTTAGACGACTACTACTACTACTACTACGACTACTACGGCTACTACTACTACTACTACTACTACTACTACTACTACTACTACTACTACTACTACTACTACTACTACTACTTCTACTACTACTACTACTACTACTATGACTACTACTACTACGACTACTACTACTACTACGACTGCTACTACTACTACTACTACGTCTACTACTACTACTACTACTACTACTACTACTACTACTACTACTACTACTACTACTACGACTACGACTACTACTACTACTACGACTACTACTACTACTACGACTACTATTGCTACTACGACTACTACTACTACTACGACTACTACTACTACGACTACTACTGCTACTCCTACTGTTTCTACTACTACTACTACTACCACTACTACTACTACTACTACTACTACGACTGCTGCTTCTGACTCCAACACCCCCAGCATCACCAGCGCTGCTCTCCACGCCGTCCGTCGGGCTTCGTCCCCAACAATTCCAGCCTTCGGCTCCTTTCATTCACAAGGAAGAAAGGGAAGGGCCCTCATGACTTCATCCCATGAGCTATAGTCATGCAAGGTGGAATCCAAGACCACCCCGCTGTCATTTCATCTGCTTCTTGGTGCTACTTGCTGCATTGCACCCCCGAAGAACAAAAAACGCTCACAAAAATCATTGCCCCAGGGAGGGTGCAAATTGGATAGTTGCTTTCTCACTTGCTACATCAACTTTTGCGCGCAACTCTTTTGCATGGGAGCTAGAGGGCTTCACGGGCCTACTGTCCTCCAAGACAATGAACGGACGGCTGCCCACTTGGGATTGGTCTGCCTCACTTTCTCTCCATAGGTCATCAAGCAATTTCTGGTAAGCAGATCTCTTATAGTCAACCCACATTTGTGTTCTTATGCAAAACACATAGTTCACTCCATTCTGGGGCGCGCAAAACTCTCCATGTTGACCAACAGCCTGAAAACAGTGCTGCATGTGGCCTCACCAAAGCTACATGCTCTATCCTATCCCACGCTATTGAATTACCACAGAGAGTGTGATGCACAAGACAAGCCGTGCGAATACTGCACGCAAATCGGCCCACAGGCAAAGTGCGTCGATCTTTTCATTCCTGCACGCCCCAGTGCAACCAAGCCCATTGTTGCCACTTGCGCTTCCAATCTTGCATCAGCAGTAGCACCAAGGGGCTAGTCACATGCTCTACTCATACAAATGCTCAAGCAGCAAACGCTTATTTTTGATACGATACGTGAAGATGCACATCTTAAATAGAGTGACCTATCATACAAGCTCAGGTCTATGCAAGAGAATCAAATGAAGCCCCAAGAACATTGTGTAAGCAACAGGACATCTTAGAACTTTGCCAAGGGACTGGTAGAGCTAAAGGCGACTCAAACCCTGAACAACCCACCGGGCTCCTGGGCTGGCAAAAAAAGAGAAAACTATCCTGGAAAGAGACCCCAAATAGTATTGGGATTCATTTGACGACGAGTGGCCCGGAAGCATAGAAAGATGTTAAATAACTCTGACACCTCTCCCGCTGCAGGTGAGAAACAAGCGACATCAATGTCAATTCGTAGCTTTTGCAAGTTCTGATGAGCAAGCTTGGCGCCGCGCTTCGCAAAAATATATCCTGTCAACTTCGCTTGCGCGCTGCTGCGCGTGAAGGTACGCGTGAAGCTACGCGTGATGTTGCGCATGAGGCCGCGCAGGCATGATGTTGCTTGCGCACGACCCCGTGCAGGATGCTGCGCATGATGCTATGCGTGACGGTCCCTCTCGCGCATGATTATGCTGCGCAACCTCTCTCGCCCAACCTTTCACGTTCCTTTCTCTTGTCCACCTCCCTTGTCCATATCTGCGTGCAGTTTGGCTGCGCAAGAAGGCTGGCGGTTTTAGTTGCAGAAGTGTACTTGGCATACTACTTTTGCGCCTGCAAGTTGCGATTTTTGATCTGGAGCCGCGAGAGCGCGCCTCCACGCTACCTTTGCGCGAAAACACTTACGACTTTGCAGCCGGAGCTGGGGCGGCTGCGGGAATGCACTTCGCGCACAGCTTTGGCCGGAGCCATGGGAACGCACTTCGCGCACCACTTTTGCACTTAAAAGTTGCGATTTTGTAGCCGGAGCTCTCTGAAAGCTCTTCGCACAGGGCCAGCAATTTGAACGCGAGCCTCGATCTAAACCAGTCTTAACTCTTACCATAAGACCCGCGCGTAAACACTATTTTTGGGGAAACCCGAATTTGGAAAACTTTTCCGCCTCCCCGACAGCTCTGCTTCTAGATGTCGGCTCTAGAAAATGTCAATGCATAAACTACTCTTATTACTGGCACCCACGGCGCCCAACCGTTTTGCACTGAATATTCGGGAGAAGCGTTGTGGAGACCATAGATGTTTGCTTTTGAGAAGAAACGTTTTAAAAAACATACAAACTGCTGTATGTGAAAAATGCAGGCCTCCAAAACGTCCCCTTCTGCAGCCATTTATTCAGGGAGGCATGCGTCAGCCACAGTTCTACATGCCAAATCGGCACAGATTTCGGACATGTTTCTTTGCTTGAAAACGCAATTGGATGTCTCCACGTTGAATCTAAGAAAGCGTGCTCCGCCCTTTACGACGCCAAGGGCTCCCCATACATTGCAACAACTGCTCAAGCTGGCTTGATATGGGCCTGTCTTTGTTGGAGCCGGAACCCTTCATGGGTTTGCTTTGAATGAAAACCATACGGAGCACCATCATGGTTTTGTCAGAGGAAGGCGGGGGCTTCAGAATTTTAACACCTTCATGTAGATCAGTCACAGCGCAAGAGAGTGGTTAAAACTCCCACAACCGAAGGCAGGCAGCGCTACAAACACAGCCCCGCAGCTGGGCCTGTTCTGGGCACGACTTGGATTTGCATGTCAGGATACAGGAAGCGGGCAAGATGGGCGCACGGATCGTGGAGCCGCGGGATTGGAGGTGTCGCTGCTACACGTACGCCCCATGGCTGAGATCAACGAGGCGCACGTGGGCCCACAGTGGGTGACTTTGGGTCCCATGTACCAATCTCGTCTTCAAGTCCGTCGGAGAACGCGCAGATGAACTCAACATCTCCCTGAGAATTGCCACGGACAAACCCGTTCTTGTTCAGCACCTTGAAGTTGGCCTTCAAGGTTGCCGCGGACAACCAGGCCTAAGAATTCTTGCTCTTGGTGAGGATGGAAAGGTCATGATAGAAGAAGCTCACGGCAGCCGCCCTTACCGAAGTTCAAGGAATATTAAAAAATCCATAACCAAAACCAACCCCAACCGCGCCAGCCGCTTCTGCCCGTAGTCGCCACTGTCCAGATGTTGGATCACAGCCGAGCGTGCAAGACACATTCGAGAACATGCGTTTAAGAGAGTCCGTGTAGGGCATCGAGGGCTTGAAGTACTGACGCACGTCGCTTCAAACAGTCTCACGTTCTCCATTTAGCAGAAAGGCTCTTTGGAAGATGCGTCATGAGATGACACAGGGTCAAGGCCTCAGCCTTCCAATTTGAGAGGTCCACAACCGTCGGTCCCAGATCGGGACGGCCACATCAGAGCCGACGCTTTCGGCAGAGTGCGGGCCATGCAAGCCAGACGGAGCAGGGGGGCGGGAAGCTCTTCTTGAACATACAGCTTGAAGCTGCACTTGCGATGAAAGGTGGGAGCTCTCCAGATAATCTGCGTTGCGCGCGCCCCCACGGTCTTGTCAGGTCCTTTCCGCAGGCGTTCATTTCATCGATGCCAGTGAGATCCTGACACTTGCAGGGGCTGAGGGAGCACTGGACATCCAAGATGCTCGGATCATCTTTCTTTGCCGGATGGTCTGAGCAATACGTACTCTCACCCTTGTCAAGAATGACTTGTTCTTGAAAGGCGAGGCCACACAGGATGGCCTTCTCGGCGTGTCCCTGCCTTACTGACTCAACGAATGGAATGCGTCTCGATGATGATAGAACGGGTTGCACTGAGTTTGAGGGACGCGCTGAACTTTGTAGAAGCTCGTTCTCGTCATCAATCTCGCACTTGTGCTCAAGAGCGGGCGCGAGAGGGCCGCGAAAGAAAGACGTGATGGGAGACGTGACAGAGTCGTGACAAGAGGCGCAGCGAGACACATGATGAAAGGTTTGACGAAAGTCATGACGAGAGACGTGGCCAGAGTTGCTACGAGAGACGTGACAATGACGTGACGCGAAGTGACCAGAGA